ATCTGAAGTGCCTGGTCTGGCATCTGTTTCAATCTGGCAAAAAAAAAAAGAAATTCAATTTTTTTTTGTACATATATAGACTAAATACATATGTGACAGTATTCATAGGAATGGAATGGTCATATGATAAAGATGTGAAAGCGAATCACCTCTGACTGACACGGTGCTGCGTCTTCCTCCATGAAGTCTGGAATTGTCCTTGAAGATATTTTTACAGCTTGAAAGGATGAGATCCCTGTCAACTACAAACAACAATAGCTAGTGTATGAGAATATTTCCATACGTACCATGTATTAAACATGTTAAATGCAATGAAAAACTGAAAAAGAATAAAATGTTCATTACCCTCTCATATTACCTATACAATTTAAATAGCTTCTGTTCTGTGATTTATAGTTTTTGTTTCTAACTATATCAGAGACTTATATACCTAGTACTGATATGATAGAGGTCCTTGTTTATAATGAAAATGATCCCAGTCCTGGACTCGGAATTAAGATTGTTTTGCTGTCCTTTTAAACTAAAATGCTACAGCATAATAATTCCATGATGATCTTATATGTCTTACACATATCAATTTCATGTACATATTTTTGCTTAGATAGAATGTTCCATCGTTAAAATGATAAATGTCCTACGGACCCGGTTTGTCCCATGACACAGATTATTCTAACTAATTTTTGTTATGTCATATATGTAACAGACGGAATGCTGTACAACCAGGTAGAAAGTGAGGAAAGAATAATTCAGCCCCTTTTAATACTAGGCCTACTTTTTTCTGTCAAGTAGCTTAATATTAACGGTTATTCTCTATTGAGAAATTGGTTCCTTGGGTGTAAATACTTGAACCTATTTTACCCCTTGGAGTTTGACCCACTTTTAAAAATCTTTAACTTTGGCCATATCTTTTTAAACAAAGTTGAAGGGGTTATTAAAAAGAGCCATCAACTTCTCAATAGAAAAATAGCTTAACGACACCAGGAAAGAAACCAAAAACATACAAAATTGTCGATTGTCATAATCTAAGAATCCTCCTTTCGTAATTCCTAAGTGTTTGGTGAATCAATAAAGAAATTGAATTGAATTGAAGTGCCAGTATTCACTCTCTAACAGGTCTTTCTGTGTTTACGGTGTCTAATTTAAATCTGTTTACCTTAAAAAGATTGTGAAAATTTCCAGATCGCGCAAACCGAAAGTAGAATGGGAAGGCGGTAAAAGTAGTTCGTCAGAATGCTGGCGGTAAAACTAGTAATCTTCATCCCTGTCTCAACTAATTTGCTTCGTTAGATTGTTTATTTTATTCTTAATGTCATAGAGTAGAGGATTGACCTTGCCTTGTATCCCCCCCCCAACTCTTTTAATGCTAAAATAAGATTTTCCAAATAGACTTTCTTAACATAAACAAGAGGTCCGTGGACCTTAACAGTCACCTGAGTAGAATCCTGTCAATAAAGGATTGTGAGAATGGCAACTTGTAAAAGAAAATTAACTGATAGATGAAGATGAATTGCATAGGCGTCGGAACCGGGGGGCCGGGGGAGGGGGGGAGAGGCGTAGCCCACCGTACCGGGAGGTAGTGGCCAACTTTTCTCTCAAGGCCAACTTCCTTTCACTTCAAATGTTTTCCTATATTTCCTTGCTATAAATGTACTGTGGTGAAAAGTGGGGGGGGGGGTCAACCTTCTCTTTAATGGACATTTTCTATAGTTAAGGTAATGTTCGGGAAAAAAGTGGGGGGGGGGGCAGGCCCCCCCCCCCCCCCCCCCCCCCCGGTTGTTACGTGCCTGTAATCGATATATAGTTTTTTTTCTCGTAATAAAATAATAATAAAAAAACATTCATTTTGACCCAGGCTAAACTTAAACAAAGATTTTTAGTTCCTAAAAATCGACGTTCCTAAAAATTGACGTTCCTAAAAATTGATTTATTACTATAATATATTATATTATTTAATACATGATCGAATGGAACAATGTATGTAGGCTTAGAGTAGAGGATTGACATTGCCTTGTATCCCCCCCCCCCCCAACTCTTTTAATGCTAAAATAAGATTTTCCAAATAGACTTTCTTAACATAAATAAGAGGTCCGTGGACCTTAACAGTCACCTGAGTAGAATCCTGTCAATAAAAGATTGTGAGAATGGCAACTTGTAAAAGAAAATTAACTGATAGATGAAGATAAATTGCATAGGCGTCGGAACCGGGGGGCCGGGGGAGGGGGGGGGGAGAGGCGTAGCCCACTTTTTTGCAAAAATAGACATTATATAGGCATTGAAAATTGGGATTTACCTTTTTTGTTGGTTTAGCCCCCCCCCCCCCCCACACTTTCAATTTGCTTCCGATGCCCATGAACTATATATGTACCGAGAGAAATGAGAAATATGACGTCGGGGATCAACAAAAAGTAGAGGATTGACCTTGCCTTATATCCCCCCCACTCTTTTAATGCTAAAATAAGATTTTCCAAATAGACTTTCTTAACATAAACAAGAGGTCCATGGACCTTAACAGTCACCTGAGTAGAATCCTGTCAATAAAAGATTGTGAGAATGGCAACTTGTAAAAGAAAATTAACTGATAGATGAAGATAAATTGCATAGGCGTCGGAACCGGGGGGCTAGGAGGCGGGGGGGGGGGGGGGGGGGGGCTTAGCCCCCCCCCCTCCGCTTTTTTTGCAAAAATAGACATTATATAGGCATTGAAAATTGGGATTTACCTTTTTTGTTGGTTTAGCCCCCCCCCCCCCCCACCCACTTTCAATTTGCTTCCGATGCCCATGAACTATATATGTACCGAGAGAAATGAGAAATATGACGTCGGGGATCAACAAAATGGATAGTATGGTAATCAGCAACAACTTGATCAGAATTAGTTCTTTTTACTTGCCTCTATGTAACGGAGCCATCTACACCAAATTAACAATATTTTGATCTTTGAATAGCATTAAAAATACAAATAATTATATAATTAGGTATTTTATCTCAAGTGCATTCAGTCATTTATAAAGTCCAAGACTCACTGCCTGACCCCGTAAAAATTACTAAAGTACGCTTTGTATCACTAGCATATAAGTACCTTTCAATATGCATTGTTTTTAAAATACTTTATTCAATGTAACTAATTGCAACATTATTTAGAATGATAAATTACCACATTTGAACAATAAAGGACAATGACTTCTCTTATTTCCAAACTTGATCATAATAGAAACCCAACGACAAAAAAATAAATTAAATCTATCTCAATGGAGGAACACCTGTACGGTGCACAGGTGCTTGGGGACGGGACCCCCCTAGCGGCTAATTGTATTCGGCGCGTTGGCGCGCTCGCGCAACTAATTTGTTTATAAAATTTATCGCTTATACAGTTCGGGCTCGATATTTCACTTAATATTCTTCTACTAATCAAAGTACTGAAAGTACTAATAGGAGTTGAATTTAATACCGGGTAATATAATGTTTGACACCTTGTTCACAATTTTTTCAAAGTATGTTCATTTATGCTTGATAAGCAAGTTTGTGAGAATTAAAAAAAGAAAATGGCACGATTCTACAGAGTGAAAAAGGTAAGGTTTGTTTTGATCTCAACATAACCTGAGAATGATATGCCAAGTAGTGTAACTTTTTTTCTCTATTCATTTTTTTCAATAAATTAATAAGATATTTTACTGACCAAAACTTTGTTTGAAAGGGCTATTAAAAGCAAAGCCATTTCTGTAACTAGAGTTACTCTACATCCTCTAATAAAGAAAAGTTAATTTATCGTAGTAGTATTATTTTAAAACATAACTGGGAATCTTTTTCAAACACTGTTACCAATGTATGGCAGCTTATTGCCATGAAAATCATGTCTTTAAAAAGGAGGTTAATAAAACTCCAGAGTCTAGGGTCATAACGTAATACTGGTAAATTTTAATTTGTTACATTGGTGTCGAAAGCAAATTAAAGTGTGTGGGAAGGGGGGGGGGGGTAAGTGAAAGAGGAAAAATTCGAACCTGAAAAGTCTTAAAAAGAAAAGAAAGGGGGGTTTCTATTATCTAAACACGAAAATCCTATTTCGGGGGGGGGGGGTCGAACTTCCATTATCAATTTTTTTTCTTTCAAATACTACATGTACCACTTACCCTTCTTCCACTTTACTGCAAAGTGCTTATTGAAAGGTGGGGGGGCTTAAACATACGCCATAAAGTTTAATACCTTCATGATATATAACTTTGCAAGCCCCCCTCCAGTTCCAACGCATGTGTTATACATAAAGTAAATTTATAAAAAACAAAGCACTAAATATTTTAAATGCTTTAGATAAAGTTTAATTTGAAGATGTGTATATATGTATAGAGAGAGACAAATCGAAAGTAGGCCAACTCAAAAAATGGGGTAAATTTTGGATTACTCTTGCACAGATTGTGGTAAGGTATGCAGTGGTGGATCCGGGAAAATTTCTAAACGGGAGGGCGCGGTAGAAGGCAGGGGGTCTGTAGGCTGTACTGAAGCCCCAGCTGGGTCTAAGGCAAGGTCCTTTTGGGGGTCAGGGCTGACAAGTTTTTACAAATAAGAGATGTGTTTTCCCCTTTGTTTTAGGATATTGGACATATACATGTAACTTTAACATACAAAAATTTCAACCGGGGGGGGGGGGGGGCGGGATGCGCCTTTGGTATACATGGATCAAAGGGGATCCGGATCCCTGGAAAATTTAAAATTATTTAAACTGACATAATAAAATTACTAAAACTATGCCTCGGACCTCTTCCCCTTGCAACTTGAACCACCACCTCGTATGGAAAATTTTCTGGATCCACCTAACCCAAAAATATAATCGGGCTCGGGCTGTCGACTTGAATATAAGCGATAAGGCTTAAATTATAAAGAAAATCCCTGTCATTTGAGTGTTTTAATGCAGGGTAAAAATACTTATGCGATATTGGGATGAGATGGACGCGCTGGCGCGCCGACGCGCCGAATACAATTAGCCCCCCTAGCTCCCCCCTTCCCAGTATTCAGTATACTCCTAGGGCTATTTAACTTGTTTAAATAAAATATTTTTGTACGACACATTCACAAAAAGGCTAGTTTTAGCTTAAATTTTGGATTTCTTACTGTAATACTTTTTGAATATGTCATAGAAAAATAGTTTATTTAGAAAAGGTTAAAGATCCCTTGGGGTACGGAACACCAGAGGAGGGGGTGTACAATATGCGTGTGTATATGAAATAAGTCCGGTAACCGAATTTCCATACGAATCAGGTCAATTTATTTATATATTGTTTGTTAAAATCAATCATCAATCGAATGTCAAGTAGTCTCCTTGATTTCTATGTTCTGTTCTTGGCCTTCCTCTGTTGACTCTCGACTTGTCCCAATTCTTCTCTCCCCTGACTCAGATTTGCTGCTATCCCCGACGAAAGGAGAAGCACCTTCCTGGATTGCTGTTTTTCTGAAGTTTTTTGATTGTTTATCTCTGTTGCGTTCTGTGTCCAAGGAGTTCTGGTCGTGTTCAGCTTTGATCGTGCTAAGCTTTATGAACTTTACTTTAGAGGGCGCTAAATTTTCTGTCGATTGTGTTTCCCTCTCTTCATTACAGGGATCGACATGAACTGAAGTTTTATTGTCTTCAACGATTTTATCTTCTGTTTCACTGGATGTAACTGTCGAAGATGCTGAGGACATTCTTGACAATGGAGAAAAGAGATGTCTTTTCCTTGAAAATATATCCCTCTGGAACATACAATAAATATAATTCAAAACAAATCGATACATATTAATTTTAATAGCCTACAGTTAAAAAAATACATGCAAAATTTTTTTTTTACAAAAAGTAATAATATAACCTCTTTTTTTCCTCCCTACAAAAATATATAGTTGACTTTAAAGAAATTAAGGGACTAGGAACAAAATGACCAAAATGTGAACTGCAATGATTTATTACCACCACCAAACCCCCCCCAATATTTGTGCAAATTGTGTCTTTGTTATATAATTTAATCTTCTACGTCAGCGTAATGTTTATATAGAGAAATTGCAGAAATGCCCACCATACATACAAACTACTGTATGAAAACGTCCAAGAAGTTGCGATTGATTATACATTCGGAATGTCTCGGTAATCAGCTTTCGTTTTCTGGTTATTTTGGCGGTTAGACTGTGCAGCGAGGTATAACAATAGTGAATAGAAGTTTAAAGCGTGCAGGTATGTGCATTTGTAATTCACAGAATATCCATTTAATGAGTTAGTCACTGCATAACGTCCCATAGCACTTTTGTTGACATTCGACATACTAAGTCTAACGTTATGTAGAGTTGTGTGTCAAACTGTTTCAAAACTATAAGTATAACCAATGGATACCGTTTATATTTTAGATTATAATTGCTTAATCTTCAAAAACCATCACAATGTACCATGTAGTTTTCCAGTGCATGATTTTATACCAGAAAATGTGATGTTATTTTCAGGAGCAGCAGGAGTTTTCTAAATTGAATGCAGCTTGCCCAGAGCCATGAGCTTGATCAGTTTACTTAGATGTGTAAAACAATCAAATGTACCAAAAGCATTGACTTTGTTTCAAAAGACTACATCTAACCATGCAAATAACAATCCATTCAAAACATTGACAGTGAATAGTTCCTTCAGTGTTGTTTCACAGAGATGTGCAGCTACGACTAATATATTAGCAAGCAAAAAGTCATCAAGTATTGAAATCTCCATTCCAGAACCACCAAAACGCCCTTCAAGTTCCTACCTACTGTTTTTTAAGGATCATCATGATCAGGTTCAAGCAGAGCTTGATACAGACATGGGGGAAAAAGCCCCCAGTACTCGGGTCATGGCTGAAATAGGAAAGCTGTGGAAATCTTTGCCTAAAGCCGAGGCACAAGTATACAAGGACAAAGCTAAAAAACTTTCTGAGGAGTATAAGAAGAAAAAGGAGGCATGGAAGGAAAATTTGACTCCATTACAAGAAGAAGTTATCCGTCAGCAAAAAATGGATCATGACGAAGCCTTAAACGAAAGAAAACTCAAGAAACTGTTTAAAGAAACTGAAAAACCTCGGCGCCCCAAAAGAGCACAAGCCATCAACTTAATGGATAATGCAGACCTTGAATCACTATTGAAAGAGGGTGGTGGAGACCAGAAAGAAAAATTTACCAAGTATATCCACGCCAAAACTGAAAAGTGGAAATCACTGCCTGAAGAGGAAAAAGAAGCATTGAGGGAACTTGCCAGTGAACAAAACAAGCAAGCAGAATCTAATTACCACAAGAAACTTGCTGAGTGGGTGCTGAGAATGTACGACGAAGGCATGCTGGATGCCGTGACAAAAGAGGAAGCCAAAATAGTTCTGCATCAGCTGAATATGCCGAAAAAGAGAAGATCAGCCCTGCAGATTTTCCTAATGTCCGACATGGGAAAAGAAATGGGTGTGACGGTGTCGACAGCCAAGGCGTTGTTTGATAGCCTCCCTAGTGGACAGAAGGAGCACTTCAACAATCTGTCTACAAACGATAAGAAAAGGGCAGAGAGGGAGTTTGATGAGTGGATGGATGAATTGAAAGGAAGAGATCTCGGAGAGTACGCTAAGGCACTAGTTAAAAAATCAAGGGCAATCAAATCATCTAGTGATAAAGTGAAGAAGGAAGAAAAAAAATCGAAAAAGAAAACCAAAGGAACTAAAGGAAAGTCAAAGGGGAAAAGTAGTGCAAAGAAAACAAAGTAAATGACAAAACACAGTCTCATTACGAAAATCTTAAGGATGAGTAATATGTACTACAAATCTGTTCTACATTTATATACTAAAAACAACAGTTTGTACCTGTGAATATAATTTTGTATAAGATTAACCACATGTTTTGTTCACACAATTGGTATTGATTGAATATGTCACTTTTCCATATCTTTTCACATCTATCTTGAAGTTCATTTTATTTGATGTAAATGTCTTTTAAAAACTGTATTAGAGGATTTGTCTGATTGCCTTTTTCTGTCTTATACCTTTTTTATACTCTAAAATCTGGTATCATTGGCATTATATATGTTTGGATATAAAGTGAGTCTGTTGAAATTTTTTTTTCTGTTGTATGTTTTGATATAGATTTTGTTTTTGTTGTACATGTAAGTTTGGATGTAAGGTTTGTTTTGTTTTGCAGCTTTGTTTGCGACTGCTAGTGCTGTGCATGTAGTAGTGGTTTACTTGTATACTCTATCATGTACATGTACACGTCTTCTTTCTGAATGTGTATGTAATTTTGTAAATCATTTGGTCCGGTCATTGGGAAGTGGAGTAAACGAATGTAAAATTGATAAGATCTGAGATATGGTTGAATACAGAGTGAGATATTAAGGGTAATGTTCTTATCAAAGATCTGATTGTCATGACATCACATACCTGTAGTTTCATGAGAGCAAAATATTTGGAAGGTATGATTTTATGCAAAATACTAAGTATTTAAGTTAATAATAATTTTCATAATGATGAGACATGTTTTTTCTACTCATTTGTCTGTCTGTAATAGATTCTAGACTTCTTCCTCCAAAAACTGGCATGTTTTGAGCTAATTTTTGTTATGTGATCCAATCTTGATGAGTTACAGATTAACTTTGCATTTTTTTCTGCTTTGACGGAATTTATACAGGCTAAATTCATTACAACACTACATGAAAATGTCCGTACCCAATTTGTTACCCATTTCACTCTGACTAAAATAGTTTCTGTATGTGTTTATGTTTGGAATTAGTCAATTGAAAATTAAGATGCTTTGAAAAATTATTTACAAATTGTTTTTTATTTTTTCTGATATTGTATGACAGAGTTAGAGAAATTGATATTTGTAATGTTTGCTACATTATACGTACATTCTATGGAACAGTATTAAAAGAAGGTTGTATTTCTTGCCTTACAGTTTCAAGTTGATCATATGATAGTATTATTACAGAAAAAAGGTGAATTTTTAAGTTTGTTAAAATACTGAAATAAAATTTAGTCTTCAAGTAAGTAAAATTTGTTCACAAGTGTAGCATTTATTTGATTCTTTATGACTGTGGCAGAGAAATGATCACATATTAATTTTTCTTGAGTAATTGTTGCCTTGATCAATTTAGCTATGACGCAAACTCATTATAAAAACCAAAGAATTTAAGCTATGCTGACGTTCAATAAGATTGTTGAAATTCATATAGTGCCAACTTATGTGCCTGTAGCCTTCCCCCAATTTTAGAGATTGATTGTACTTGGGGCATGCTTTTAAGCATCAATTGAGTTTGAAAATGAATGCTTAATATACAGGTTATAGCTAGTGGAATATTACTACATATATGTAAGGAAAGCTGAGAAAAAAAGATGAAGTCATATTGTTTGTTAAACAATGTAGTTGTTAGTTGGAATTTATCATTTGTAATAGTCAGTAATCCATATATAAAATGTGGAAAACTCTATGGTGACCTTTATTCATATCAATTCCAGTTAAGTAGGCTGTTTTGCACTACGTCTTGATCTTTTTAGACAGATGTTCCCAATGTAAACAATTCACGCCCCAGCTGTGTGATTGGTCAACTCATTTTATGTCAACAATGACATGGAAATAGTCTGCTGCATGAGCAAGAATTCGGTAAGAGCTAGACTACCAGTCATAACGCTTCCGGTTAGGAGGCGTGTACTATTTACCTCGAGCGCAGCTGTCATCATAGGTTGTGACCTAATGCAAAAGTGAAAATGGCACACTACATTGGAATTACCGGGTATTGAATAATATTCAAGTTTATTGGAGTACATGTCCCGGTTTTGAGAACATATGAAAGTAACTTAACTAAATTAAATACAGATTATATATGAGTAATGTGAAGAAACTCGAGCATCCTTTTTTAATGATATAGTAATTTTGTTTAAATAATTTTTTGGTGCATCAGTCCAACAAGTGATCTTTTTCTATCCATCATTGTGTGTTGCATGGCCATACGAACCGCTGGGAAGGAGGGGATAATTTTGCCGAGATATAGAACACCATAGAAAGCAGCTACATGTACCATACACTTGTGCTCCGTCAATGATAATTAATGTCTGTTGACCTTTCATTTTCTTTTCTTTTTTTCAATGAATTTTTTTTAAGTTAAAAGTGCAGCCAACTGAAAAATTATAGCTGCCCCTCCCCCGTTCAACGGAAATTAATAATTTTTTTGATTGTTATTGAGCTTGGTCATAATTAACACATGTACAAATTGTACATGTACTAGTGTTTAAAAACTAAATATCATAGAAGAGAAATCAGCAAATGTTCTTTAAAAAAATTCTTGATAAAAAATAATTAAGATCAATGTCTGAGAACAGCAAGCAAATTCAACTTTTTATTATATTCTTTGATAAAATATTGAAGACCATTTGCTAATTTCAATCTCTTCCCGGACAAAGAAATATAGTAAAAAAAAAACCTTGTGTTTGTAATTTTCTTTATTAAATATTTTTTATGTAAGGTTACAGTCAAGTAAAATGCCAGAATCTTGCATCCCCAGCTATTTATACAATTTTACACAAATGAGAACATGTACATGCCAAACAAAGTTAGACAACTCTTCAGAAGAATTCCTCAATTTTTCCTTGAAAAGGAGAACGTTTGCTGTTTTCTTTTCTGAGTCATTTTCTGTTCTTCACTTACATTTATAGACTGTTCCCCCATGCTCATAGCTTCCTTTTTTTCCTTATCTTTAGTTTTAGCCATATTTCTCATGATGTTCATTGGACCTAAAAATTAGCAATAGAATATGCATTCTAACTATCTATTAATTAACTAACAGGTAAAATGACATGTTCTTTTATAATCAGCTAAACTTGGATATGCTTCTTATGGTCACTTTTTGCCAGAATCTGTAAAATAAGAGATAGTAATTTTGAAAGCAACTGGATATTGGTCCCTCCTTGAAAATACATGTATGTATGCATATAATTTAGAGCAGATGACATTTTCTTTCACCATGTCCCAATAATATTCCTCTGTACAAAATTATTGGATATATTGCCATTATTTCCTTTCAAAAGCCATATAGTCAAATACAATCATGTAAATGTTAGAGTCCTGTATTATGGCTCATGAGTGTGCTAAGAAGAAAGCATTTTTCAATAAAGGAAATTCCTTTATTCCTTACCCTGACTGGTACAAGAACATTTTATATCTTACATGTTAATACAAACTTCTTTAAAGATAGTAAATATCTATAAAGATATTTTAATTTATATACAAGGTCATTATGTTAATATGTAAATTCAGCTACTAGTATGTTCTTACTAAATACTGTGTACAGGGTTATTTTTGCCCAGTGTTACTTTTGCTCTTTCATACTTGCCAACAATTTAGCCCTGTTTTAAATTCCCCCAATCACAATTCTGTTTGAAAAATCATGCTGTGTTCTTTGATTTAGGTCCCTTTTAAATTCTGTAACTTGTGAAAGGGGCAAAAATAAAATGAGGGTGAAAATTTCCCTGTATACAGTAAATGACATGAAACACCTGATACCTTTTCTAGAAGGTTTGAACATTTCTTTGAGTCTGTGGATCCCCCTTAATCCTCCTCCCCCCATTGTGGGGTAGTCCTCTTCATCTTCGTCACTGTCCATCATGTGTCTCCTCATCATCATAGGGTCAGGACCCCCCATCATGTCCATCATCATCATCATGTCACGGTCAGGAAACATCCCCATCGGATACCCCCGCCTACTGCTATAGAAAAATTCTTGTCTTGAAAATGTCTAAGAAAATGCAATTTAAGTGTAATTTAATCAACACAAGTATACACAATGCTTTAATTTTTTCCTAAATTCCAGTCACAATTAAATTTCAGCTGATTTTGACAAAAAAAATGAAAGAAAAAGTGAGCTAGCTCACATACCCCACGCTCCCCCAAAACTTGACAGTGAAACACATAATGAAAGGCACAGCTAGTGCACTTTAAATACATAGTTTAGATCAAAAAAGGCAATAATTGCAAAAAAATCTTCACATCAAAATGTCTTGCATATGAGGACATTTAAATGTGGAATGAAGTTTCTAGATAAATAATGGAATCAAAATTTCTTGGCATTATACAAATCCAAACATTAATTTGAAGTGGTTGGGGGTGGGGGTGGGGGGTGAGAAATTTTCTTGAATAATAGGCAAAACTCTTTGGGATAAAATAATGGAATATGTCCTAAATATCTGCATAGGTTGACGAAACTATGTACAACATTTTAAGAGGAGTGGTGCTGACAAACTGTTCATTGTATATTCAAAATATGGCCAAAAATCTGCAGTTGGAAAGTGTGGAAATTCCCGGAAAAATAAAGGAATGGAATTTCCTGGTAATATGCACATCTACATATTGTGTCCTAAATATGCAAAGTTTAACGAAATTCTGTGCAGTGGTTTATAAGTTGCACTGACAAACTGTTCATCTCTATATAAAAGGTATGGCCAAAAACCTAAGTTTTTAGTGCGGGAAGTCCCGGAAAAAATAATGGAATCAGAATTTCCTGGTAATATGCATATCTACATATTGTGTCCTAAATATCTGCAAAGTTTAACGAAATTCTGTGCAGCGGTTTATGAGGAGTTGCGCTGACAAACTTTTCATCTCTATATTCAAGGTATGGCCAAATGCCTAAGTTAATTAAATAGTGCAGAAAGTATCTAAAAAATAAATTTATCGGAATTTTATGGAATATGCAAATCTACACATATTGTGTCCTAAATACCTGCAAAGTTTGACGAAATTCTGTGCAGCGGTTTATGAAGAGTTGCGCTACAAACTGTTCAATCTCTATATTCAAGGTATGGCCAAATGCCTAAGTTAAAAAGTGCGGAAATTCCCAGAAAAATTAAGGAATCGGAATTTCCTGGTAATATGCACATCTACACATTGTGTCCTAAATATCTGCAAAGTTTGACGAAATTCTGTGCAGCGGTTTATGAGGAGTTGCGCTGACAAACTCTTCATCTCTGTATTCAAGGTATGGCCAAATGCCTAAGTTAAAAAGTGCGGAAATTCCCGGAAAAAATAAGGAATCGGAATTTCCTGGTAATATGCACATCTACACATTGTGTCCTAAATATCTGCAAAGTTTGACGAAATTCTGTGCAACAGTTTATGAGGAGTTGCGCTGACAAAAAAAAGAGGACTGACTGACTGACGGATGGACGGACTGACTGATGGATGGACGGACGGACTGACTGACTGATGGACGGGTCAAAAACATTATACCTCTCGCAACTAGTGGAAGGGATGGAAGATTTTGCATCGTTCATTTGATTCTCTCAGTTATAATATACTTTTAAAGTCAGAGGGGATGAAAATCTCTTTGCTGTTAGTGTCATTTCATTACATGTATAAGTATGTTGTCAATATTTTACTGTACTGCACATACAAACTTTCATTCTCTGGGTATCTCAGACTTCTTACCTGCCTGGCTTTGTTATATACCCTCCCCCTGGTAAAGGATATTTCTGTTTGGCATCCCCAATGACTTTCATCAACAACTCCTGATTTTCAGGCCTACAAAACAAAAATTAATTTTTCAGTATTTAGTAGTTCACCACACAAAGAAATTATAGGTCTGTTTAGCAGCGGGGTGCATTACTCTACCAGAGTGCACTGTGGAATCATCATTGTTCAAGAGGCCCTGGTGACTCATGAATTTACATTTTCACAAACAATATCTTTGTGTTTTATACCTCATTTTTTATTTTATCTCTTGTATATACATGTTACTCATGGAATTAATTTGTCAAAATTTTGGTTGCTGTGCTAATTGACTTCCCACAAACTGAAATGATTCCAGTGACTTTCTGAATGAATGAACTATCTAGTGCATGAGCAGCACTTACTTCATCATTTCACTAAGGAGACTATACTCTGTGTGTAGCAGGGCCAGAAGGAGGACAGGATCTTTAGCTAGTTTGATGACCTCTGGGTCTAAGGTCGTAAGACTCAAAGGATTACTTTCTGGGGCTTCGTTGTTGCTTCGTAATAGCGTTTCAAACATCCTAGGATTTTCCAATGCTTTTTTCACTCTGTAGTAGTTTCCTGTATAAGAATTACAAAATGGATTAAAATAAAAGGTAAAGAGTTTGGTATTCAAAAGTGTTCCCTTTAGGTTTGAATAAGATTTTAATATGGCTGTGTTTCTTACCACCTTTCTTTAGTTCAGTGATATGTGGATGATCCCCAAATGTTTTCTCCACTCTCCTTCTGCGTTCCGTTCGTGAAGTTTCTTGGTTTCTATGATTCCAGCTGTCAGTTTTACCGTATCGTCCTGCCCGCGCTATGTTGTCCAGTTCCTTTGCATTTGCTTCTTTCCATGCCCGTCCTCTTTCCCTTGCCATCCGCAAATGCGTTCCACTTATATTTCCCCAAAAGTCATTTCCAGGACACAAAATTTCCTTTTTAAATAACTCATCCTCATCTAAATATTGTTTTAATTTTTTATCATCATTCAATATTGCTTTATACTTAGGATCAAGGCTAAAGAAGTTATTACAGTAATCAGTACGAGCTACAAGTAAAGCGAGAGGGTCACGCAATATTTTCCTAAACGTCTTTTCAGCACTTGACATCTCCGATTCTTTTTTAAACAACACTGATTGTACTGGGCCCTCGTCTTCCGTTTCCATGGATTCTGATGACTGAGGGCCTTGTGAAGTGGACTGTTCTTGTGAACTTGTGGAAGCAGACGTATTTGTGGATGCTGATGAACTTTGACCTGAACCAAGCTGCTTTGGAGAAGTGTTCTGAGCTGGTTGTGGTTCATTCAGATGATCAATGTGATTGGTGTATATGTAAGTTAAATCATCTGGTGCCTGTAAAATTATAACATTTGCAAAATTATTTTAAAAGTTATTTACATGTACCAATTATTAATACATGCATACATTTCGAAATTTGGTATAATTAATCCCATTATATCATAACAAAAAATATCTATACCAGTATGCTTCAATGGTTTTTTTCTTGGAATAAAAATATGTTTTTATAAAAATCCATATGCTTCAAAGGTTAAAAAAATTAAAGAAAATTATGATGGATTATACTCACAAAAGATTCCTTTATTTCTCTTCGAACATTTTTCATGGCAGTAACTAAGTCATGTTTGAATTCTTTATTAAATTGTTCCTCAATTTCCTTTTTTAAATCTGTAAAGTGAAAAAATTAAAACAGTTAACATACACAATTTAATGATACCTTTAAAGAGCATACAGGGCAATCTACAATTAATATCATCAATTCCAGTGAAGTGTACCATTTTGCATTACATCACATCTTATTTTGACAGCTGCACTCTGTAAATAGTACACACCTCCTAATCACAAGGTTAATGATTGGTAGTGGTAGTTTGTCCTTATCCCTGATGCTCATGCAACAGACTTTTTAAGAAAAAAAACACAAACACGAAACATAAAACCTGAGGTTAGGAGGCATGTACCATTTACCCTGAGTGCAGCTGTCAAAATAGGTTGCAAACTTGCAACATAAAGCAAAATGGTACACTTTACTGGAATTGATAATAATAAATTTTCACCTACTTCCAAATGAAGGTCTCTGTACAGGTTTTTGGTGCCAGCATCTGGTCATTAAGTTTGTCAGAAATGGGGGACAACCAGTAGGTATAAGACTGAAGTCTGGTCGCTGTCCACTTAACACTGCTGACCGAATCAAGTCATCTCGAGCATCTGTAAATGTAGAGTGTTTTTCATAAATCTAAAATATTCATTTACATTGTATGCATTACTAAAGCTAGTAAATACAAAAAAGATTTTTTTCACCTTTGACAAAAATATCGGATAATCTTTCCACATATACATGTCCACAATCAGAAAACATTGTCAATGATGCATGTTTCAAAATGAAACCTCTAACTTACAGTAGAAATGACAATTTATCAAGATCCCATATCTAGAATATCCCTTTGACAAACAATCTTTTCTTCACTACCAATAAACGGAATTTACATATATTGCTTTGTATTATAATTTAACACATGTGCATACTTCCATAGGGGACAGCTCCTGTCAACATCTCCCAGACACAGATTGCAAAGCTGTAGATGTCATAAAACCTGTCAGGGGGTGTGTTTATATTGCTCCACACCTCCGGAGGAACATGTGACACTGTACAGCGACGCCCACTGGAATCTGATTGGTCAGTTCGTCTGGTGGCTGTCATTGTCACAGTTTTCCATTCAGATAAACCAAAGTCGGACACCTGTCAATGTTACATCATATAATTACAAAAATATTTTAAAGCTATGGGGAATGAAAATTACCTCTCTATAAGCTTCACCTCATTATGAGCACATTCAAATTCACTGTAAATAGGTTTACTGTATGTTAGTTTGAATATTGTTTGGTTCCCCATGATATTTTTAACATTTTGTAAAATATGGATGAATGGTTGAAACTGTAAAATGCATTCTTCACATTACATTACCCATATTTTCTCACCTTAGCATGCATACCACCATCCAGTAAAATATTATCTGCCTTTAGATCCAGGTGAAGAATGGTGGGTTTGTGAGAATGAAGGAAATCCATGGCGGACGAGACCTCCATCAGAAACCTCACATACAGGGGGAACTGAGGGGAGAATTGCTTACGGAAATCAATGAGACTCCCGAGGGGCATATACTCTAAAATGAGGGAGTAATTGTCTCTCTGCATTATCAGGCCATATAAATGAAGAATACCATCATGTTCACAGAACTCCATTAACTTCTTGGCCTCTGCTTGCAGCACATTTAAATGCCTGTATATATAAAAAGATTGGTTAAAGTTTTCTCCGTATTCAAACCATTAAATTAAAAAGTTGCTCAAGAAATATAACTGTTGTTTCAAAATTCTAAACAATATAACACTGCTCAATTTATTGAAAAAGAAAGGCAAAACCTTTTTAATGAATTCTTACTTTTTTGGCAGTTGTCCATAGTTTATCAAGGTTTTCACTGCAACATGACCATATTCTCTGTGTTTTCCTCTGTATACTGTACCATATCCTCCCCTACCTATTGGAAGGCTCTCTAGTTCTATCTCGCTCTCATCAACTATAGGAATGCTGACTTCAGACATGGCTACAAGGATTCTGAATCGGAACAAAAACTTGTTGTTGATCATGTTGATATCAATTTTAAAAAGGACCAAATTAATTATTACACATTACAACTTTGAATTCATGCACAATGAAATGTTGAGTTACCAGAAATTATGAATTAGATTTGAATTTTAAGGTGTGCAACATATGTTCTAGTCTTGGGTTCCAGAATCCTCTAGCCTGATAAGATTTTCACAGTCCTACCAATAGCATCTTTGACAATTATACTGGTCACCTGAAAATAACATGCATCTCTTATCAAGCTACTGTTTCAGTGCTGTATCTTAACCTACATATCTCTAACTAAAATTACTTTTTAATATCTTAACTCTTATAGATGGCATATACTCTATATTAACATTATTCTGAAAGTTGTTTGGTCCAAATACCTTGACATTTATGCTACAAAATTTTACCTGTCTAAATTTTTATTAAAAAGTGTTTAATTTTAGGTAAAATTATATTTAAGTTCATTGGATTTACCATTTGTCACGAACCTGTTTGTATTTTAAATAAAAACAGGTTTTTATAATGGCTTTAACTTTTGCCAGTTTTGGCATTTTCTTTAGTTTAACATTTTTCATCGCTTAACGAGGCCCAATCTAGTTGGATATTACGAAAACGGAATGATAAAAAATTCTGATTCTTGGAAATAAATTTGTATGTATTATGCTAAGAAAAATTAGAATGAAATTTTGTTACATTGCCTTTATTGTAGTCAAATGGGGGCACTTTCAAGATATGGACCATTTTTCGTGTTTTTATACACAATTACATACTAAAACTCCTCAATAAACAAAGGAATTGACAAATTAAAAAAAAATAAATGATGAAATATTTTTATTTTCACATATATCATGCAATTCACATCCCTCTTTTAAAAAATGAAAAGAAAATTAGGTAGCCTTTATTGCAGTGAAAAGGGGGCATATCAAAACACAAAAATAGGACTTATTTTATCCAACTATAGCTAGTATTTTATAAGTTGCAATAGGTCAGCTTTATATAACATCAACAAACGATTGTAATACTGTATAAGTTTCTAAAAATTAAATCATTCTTACATTATGGCATAATTTTCTCTTTATGCTCAATAAAAATGGTGCGTATAAACACTTCAATGTTCGAGGAGAAAGACTAAAATCGTTTACTTTTGGTTACAGTTAGATTTTTTTCTAACTCACAAATTGAAATAAAACAAGATAAAATTAATGAATCTGTTCCAAGAAATTGATACCTCAAAATAAATTATGTTTCAAAGTTGTTATTAATTTAAAAGTAATAAAACGCCAGAATGAGCCAGCTTTCAACAAGCAGTCTATAGAGCAAGAGCAAGATCCGCGAAATATTTTAGCGCAATTTGACGTCATTTTAATTGTGACGTTATTGTGTTCAATTGTGACGACAGTCAAGGGTATTGTGACGTGTCTGAGTCGACGCTGCGTTAAAACGTATGCGCAGATCAACTAGATCGGGCCTCGTTAAAAGATAAATAAAAAATAATGCATCCAAAAAATAGTATAATACAAACCAGTACAAATTAATGTTGTCATAAACAGTACAAGAGATCAACAAAATTGCTATCACAGTGACAGTTCCTTTCACATTGCACTGGAAAATCCCCTTACCTATTTATAACTCAAGCACATATCCGTTTAGAATTAGTTTTTGGCAAAACGCATAATACTAAAAATACTTTTAATTTGAATTTAAAAATTTGAAATGAGAGTATTTTTAATGAAATGGAAGATTACATTTTTTAATATTTCCCAATTTATTTTGAAATTAACTAAATCGTAAATTTTTGTTTATGGATATTTAATCTTCGTTTCTTTAAAAACGTATGTCCTTAATTTATCAAGCATGGCGGACAAAGTAGAGTTATGCGTACGTCGTGAACTTTTGGATCCAAATTTTGACGGATATAAGCTGAGTCTTGATCCTTTGCCAACATATACATGCAAATTAGGCAATGGTAACGTTTATTTATTAACTTTATACTACTGTCATTTTCATTTACATTATTTAAGGAGAGCAGAAATATTTTTTTCTGTAAAGATCAAAGACAGTTGGGCACAGGCGTTCGTTTCATACAATACACTAGTTTTTTGTTACTATATAATTATAGTAATATGAAACAAGCGCCTGTACAGTTAGGCCTTGGCTTATAAACATAATGCATATGTATTAATTGAATAGGTTAAAAGAGCACCCCCCCTTTTTTTTTTTTACATATTCATTTGTTAAAAATTGGCTTTTTATAAACCAAGACCTAAATGCCTGTGATAAAGATACCATTCCTGAGAACAAGGGTTTGATTTGTAAAATTTATTTTTATGAAATGATATAAATATTGTGTAAGAATATATTAAACTGTATTAAATATGGACTTTTACTTGTTTTGGGGCCACAGTGAGCGTTGGTTAGAAAAATCTATGGGTCTTGAAAGAGGTCACCACGGAATTCCTCCATAAACCTGCAAAGAATCAGACATTTGCAAAATCGCTCCAAACAATTATGGAGAAAATAAATGAAGTTGCATCGAAAATATCTTTCAAATTAATCAAAGAAAATCTTTATGAGATTTTGATTATTGTTATTATCACATTATCAAACATGTACAAATATCCTCAGATAGTGCAAAAATTCAAATAATGTTAAAATATATACTAGAGGGAATTCAGTTTTGGTTATTTCATATAAAAGGGCTTGAGTGGAGCCACAATATGGGAATGAACATATCTGAGTTTATGCTCACGAATGTACTTTGATTTGACAGGCATTGCGTTTACGTCACTGTCTGAGGACCAGTATTCCTACCATCACGCTAAGTTGTTCGGAGTCCATAATCACCTGTATGTGGATCCATGGAACACGGACTGTGTTTACTTTATTGACAGTGGATGGAGTATAGTTCAAGCCCTATCTACTGTAAGTATTTTGACTGTGTATGTGCATGTTTTTTAACAGAAAAAGGCAGAAAGTTTTCATATTCCTTCTTGTCTTGTAGTTATCATTTTGACTCATAAAGAATCTTAATATACCAATTGTTTTTAAGTGCTCTTAACACTATATACTTCATGGTGTATTTGATGTAGTCAATACTATTCAGTGACCATAGATGATGAACACCAATTTGTTCTATTGCTACATGCTAATTTGTGATTAATCACATTCTGGTGAAACTGTATACAGGGTTATTTTCGCCCCTTGTTATTTTTACATTTTCACATTTGGAAACAAGTTTGCCCCATTTTGAATTCACCCAGAAAGATTTTTGTTTAGGATAGTACACTGTATACTTAGAATTCACCCCGTTTTAAATTTGCCCACTTCCGACGAGGGTGAAAGGGGTGAAAATTAAACAAGGGCGAAAATTTCCCTGTATACAGTACATACAAGTACAAGCAAATGATTTTCTTAAATTCTTTGTGATTTTATCTTGATCATAATACATATTTTTACTTAAATCTATAAAATTGTTTTATGATACAAGGCATGATCTATAAAAGTTGTTACTTTTACCAGGGAACCAGTGTCACTGTAACTGGTAATGTGGGAATAGTTCCTGATCTGAACAGGCAGAACTCTGTGACTGGTCGACTGAATGCCGCCCTTTGTTTTGTGTCGGAGGACTTGGCTGTAGTCGGAGATGGTGCTGGAAAGCTTCATCTGTATTTCACGGGAGCTAGGAACAGTTCACAGCCCTGGAAGGTTTGAAAACATTGCTGTATTTGGTCATATCCAAGGCTTATTATAAAATCAGATTTTAATCCACTGGTATTGGTATAGTCACAGGAGTCTGAAGTTTTAATCGTCAAAAAAAAAAAAAAAAAAAAAAAGAATCCGGAAAAAAATTTTCCTACCCTTAACTAAAAAAACCCCAGGATGGCAACGTGTTTTGGGGGTACCCACCTAAACAAATAGATCTGGGCTTGGTGGAAAAATCTGCAACTAATTCAGTATTCTGGAGTGTTTGTGCTATTTATTCAAGTTAAGAAATCAAATCTGCTTGACGACTACTGGCTGTTCATGGCCTTTTTTCCAGTTTGACAACTCATCCTGGACTCCATGCCACTAAACCGGAAGTGAACTCCGAGGTGAATATATGACGTAATTGAAGAAAAGAACCAAAAAAAATGCATGTAAAACTTCATGTACAGTTTAATGTTACCATACGTGATCAATAAAAAGATATATTTTTCAAACAAAATAATGCTTTATAATGGCGCTTAGTCTAACTTTTTGGCTCTTTGTCGACATGGCTTTTCAGTGATTTAAATTTGGCGCTTGTAAAAACTGAATTATCAAATTCCCTGGTACACATCGTCGTACAAGTAAGAAAAAGAATAAATAACTTTTTTAAGTTCTGTTAAATATATTTAAAATAACTGAATGAAATTACGTTGAACAATTATTTATTTTATTTCATTTGAACAAGTTTTTAAAAACGTCAAATATACACTGCAAGATTCTCTTCCGGTTTGGTGGCATGGAGTCCAGGATGAGCTGTCAAAGTGGAAAAAGGGCTAGAACGGCCCGTAGTCGTCAAGCAGATTGAATTTTTCACATTAAATAAATAACAAAAATGCTCCGGAAACTGAATTAGTCGCGAGATTTTTCTGGCCAAGCCCAGATCTATTTGTTTAGGTGGGTCCCCTCAAAACACGTTGCCATCCTGGGGTTTTTTTAGTTAAGGGAAGGAAAATTTTTTTCCGGATTTTTTTTTTTGACGATAAAAACTTCAGACTCCTGTGGTATAGTTTATCTATAGTGTCATAATATATTAGAACATTAAACTATTTTGTTGTATGATTTGATATAAATTTAATATTTCATTAGTAATCAATATTGAATCCTAAATTTGACACAATTTTTCACATCACAATTAGTACTTTACTAAATAATAATAATCTAGATTTTGCAACTTTTAATACAGATTGTATTTTCTAATGATCCCTTGGAGAACATCACCCCCTTCCTGCTGGTAGACGCAGTGTTGCATACAGTAGACAGTACATACAAACTGGAATGCCTGTGTGTACATGTGATAGAATGTAATGCTGAGCAGAAAGACAAGTACAGATCTACACATCTAACAGTCATCGAGTGGATTACAGTATCCTCAGGTCAGTGTCCAATTTGTGTTTATACAGGACTAAATAACTAAGTAATTACCGGTAAATAAAATTCAACATTCTCTTGTTGATTGAACTTCAAAGGATATATTTTTTCCTCTGTATTTTGTAATCCTGGTATAATATTCTAGAAAAAAGTGTACTTTTCACTTAAGCTTCTATACATATGCTATAAATTTGGTTACCATTTTTTGATTGATTAAAGAGAAATTACTCATTGAGGTGAAATTGAATTTTCATTCAAAAGGGGACAAAATTACTTGGGTACAAGAGCGGAGTAGACGTCTTTATGGGAGACGACCTTACGATTACGCTGCCTTCAGTAAGGACGGGTCTGCTTTGGTTGTCGGGGCTGAGGCAGATTTTGTCTTTGAGTACGACTCTCTGAAACCTGTCCGAGAAGAGGAACCCATGGATGCAGAAACCAATGGCCAAGGTCAGAGTTCAAGTTCAGAAATTCTCCATTGTATATCACTCAGAGAGTCATAATCTTGATCTATTTGTATCATTGCATTTTTTAATATATACATGCATAATTTTTTTGAAACCTTTTTTATAAAGCACCCAAATGATGGAAATACTGGTCATTTTGTGTGAAAATATAGGATTATTTTTTACTTTTGTCTTGCATCATACAAAAAATGTTTATATACAAAATTACCTTTAATTTCCCTTGATAAATTTTATTTATATTTGATAGAATTTTTTGACATTTTAATCAAAATGTGTGGTCAAAAAAAGAAAAGGGAGAGGCATACCTTAAACCACATTTGGGTATAACAGGGCATTCATATGTAATATTAATAAACTGTGATGAATGCTGTTTGTAGAAAAGCCCGAGCCTGAGTACACCTGGTCACAGAACACAGAGGAGGTGACTGCTCATTAGTTTCCAGTTGATAAAGCATCTTTGCACATTGTCACATGACACATACTTTGAAATGAAATTTATTATACAGATTTGGGGATCAAAAGAGGCAGCACTTGGTCAAATTCTGGTTTGGAAAAAACTAAATTACTGTAAACCAACTTTTACAAGCGTGCGAAAAATATTCGAAAGGTTCACCACCTACTCGCAATTATTTTTCTGCAAAATATGCTTTGTAAAGAAAGCATTAATCGTCATGGATTGATTTGAAACTGACGAATTGCTAATAAAAGATGACACAAATAATAGTTGGTTTACAGTATTATAAGCCTGGAAAATAAACATATACTGTAAAATCACATGTTTTTGTGGGGTCAAAATTTTGAGGTTTTAGAAAAAAATATTGTGGGGATTTGATTTCATGGTGAATGCATGTTTAGTAGGAATGTTATATTTTAATCGTGGTGGAATTGCCATTTGCCTCAGAAAACAACGAAAATTACACCTGGTCACAGAATAAGAGTGCCAGGATGGACTGCTTTGTTGATTTGTCATACATGTTATTTGTTATATCCATCAAATGTTTGATATATTTCTAAAGTCAGAAAAAAACTTCACACTGTCACATCAGACATTATAAATGTGTTTTGCTGTATATAAAAGTGTGGAAACCATTTATTGAAGGGTCAGTTGTTTGGGGATATAGATGTAGAAGGCAGCACTTGGACAATTCAAGACCAGAGGTAAAACATTTAGAAAAAAATTAAATTGCTGTAAGGCACACACATTTCAATTTTTAATTTCCAACTCAGTGTTACCTGACTCAGATTTATTTGGATTAAAAAAGTACAAGCGGGCTAGAGAGTTAAATTTTAAGAATATTAGATATTTTGGTAGGCAAAATTTTTATTTTGCCATTTTGAGATTAAAAATCTTGCCATTATGGCAATTCTTATATTTTTTCTGATTTTCGGAGTAAAAAGATTAAAAGTATGATGAATAGAGCGGAAATAGAACTGAAAACAGCAAAGAAATCCCATGGTGTGGGAATTTTAAATTAATATTATTTGTATAGTTTTGTTTAAATACGAGGAACAACAAATTTTTTTGGTGTGGCCTAAATCAACTTTTACAAGCATGCAAAAAATATTCAAAAGGTTCACAACCTACTTTAACTCGCGATTATTAATCTCCGCAAATCATTCTGCTTTGTCATTTATGGAGAATTTGTCGTCAGGTGTGAAAACTAATCCTCAGGGATTGATTTGAAACTGACGAATTGCAAATAAAAGATGACACAAATACTAGCTGGTTTACAGTATATAAGCCAGCCTGGAAAATGTATACTGTAAAATCACATATTTTTGTGGGGTCAAAATTTCGAGAAAAAAAATATTGGTTTGTGGGGATTTGATTTCATGGTGAATGCATGTTAAGTAGTTCATAACAAGCCATTTATTATCAAAGTTTATTTGTCAGGCCAAAACTTTATAAGAATGGACTATGATAATGCAAATTATATTTTACATTTCTTGGTGGCCTTAAATTCATGGGTCTTTCCATGCCTCATAAACAACAAAAATTAATTCCCAAGAAAATTAGTGATTTCACAGTAGTAGAACTCCCTATTAACAAAGTGCTAGGGATGGACAATACTGCTTTGTCAATTTGTCATACATGTTATTTGTTATATACATCAAATGTTTGATATATTTCTGAAGTCATAGAAAAAAAAATTTTCACTGTAAGCATCAGTTCATTATAAATGTGTTTTACTGTATGTACAAGTATGTATAGTCTATATGTTGTAGAATTGAGATATTGAGACACATGGTTTTGTGATTTTTTCATGAATTCCCCAAAACAGGGTGGAGGTGACATTGAGTAAGTGTGAGGAGCAGGTGTGGTCCCATATTGTGGTGGGGGACAATCGGGGGGAGATGACGATGGACCCGGCAATGATAGCTCAGATCCATGAAAGGCTGGCAGGACTTACCTCAGACCAAATGGTCAGTACCATATACAGTAATACTAGGTTACAACAAAGTCACTGGGACTTAAGAAATTACTTCACTATATCCGAAATTTGTTATACATGTATCCGTATAAGGAATTCATTAAATTCATAGAGCTGGGGATCCAAGATAACTTTGCTATATTCGTGAATTTGCAATATCCGTGTTTGTACTAAACGAGTTTTACTGTACATGTATAAATGTTACATGTAGTTCATCAAGCTGCTGTTTTCAAAGTCTTCTCTTAAATCACATTTCAAATTTCAACTATTAAGTTTTCCAAGCTTTCTTCATTGTTACCTGACTCAGATTTATTTGAATTAAAAGGTTATATGCCTTCTAAAGGGAGGTAAATAAGAGAGATCTAAATTTCATCTTCTGGAGAAAATACTTAGATATAGCTAATAGTCAGTGTCCTCTAAGTTTCCCTTATTCTGCCATTGTGAGATTAAAAATCTTGCCATTATGGCAATTCTCTCACGAATTCTTCTATTTTGAAATGCGTGTAAGCATGCAAACAAGTTGATAAAAATAAGTGGAAATTTTTCTTCTTTGTTGTAGAATCCTGATCCTGAAGAGGGAAAAGAAAAACCATACAACTCACAACAGCTTGAGGAGTGTGACGTTTTCCCAGACGAATCCTCTTCTATAATGAGATTTGACGGAGATACGCATAAAATTACACACCAGGTAATCATTATAGTATAGTTGATTAAATGTAAAAGCAAATTATTTTATTGAAGTGTTTTCAAAAGTGTACATTTTTCAATGAAGTTGAATTATCATTAGTATATTTATAGCTTTTTGTTACGAGAAAAATTCTCACAGAATTTGAGGGAGTGAATAATACAATTTTAATAAATTTTAAATCTGTTCAATATTTCAACATGATTATATTGTTTTTTTTTTCTTTTTAAACTAACAGACAAACACGGGAAGCCATCAGTTTCTTTTCTCTGCCTCTCTTGATAAAGACAAGCCTCTGGCTCTCTGTTTACGTCATGACGTCGACGGCATCATGTGGCAGCCGGAAAACCAGTGCAAAGAAACGGAACTTCCCTGGCAACATGTGGCAACGTTCAATGCATTTGGTTATGTTCAGGCCTCTAAACAAAATCGTAAATTTACTTTATGTGCCCCAGACTGTTCGTTTGCTATTATTTGTGACATTTGGCGACACGCATATGTATATAGGCAGCCAGAACCTATTGCAACTCCAGTCAGAAATCGGAAAGATGGACGACAGATTAGCCATGTTGCCAAGCAACAGGTGGTTTCGTTGGAATGTACCGATCACATTGTCGGTGTACAGGCAACATCACAGAAACTCTATATTCTGACTGAATCTGTATTACATGCTGTTCAAATCAACTCAGGGATACAAATTCAGTCCTCAGTTTCAGAAACAAGCATGTGGAATTAATGTTCACACATTCATGAAGAGCATAACTAAAGCTTCACATTTATCTGATTTGGAATCATTTTTTTGCCATCAAATTAAATGTACTCATTTTGTTGATGTTTTCAAAAACGTTGTTTTTGTTAATTTTGATAAATCAGTGAGACAGTAAATTAAACTGTATAATAATGTTGTGTGCAATTTTATTTAATGAGTAAAAGTGGAGTGAATATTATACAGTCAAAGCACTTGAGTATTGATGTGCATCAAGCATAATTCAGCTCCGCTAAGGAACAGCACAAATATAAAATCTATAATTATTAAATATCAATATGGTCATTATACATGTTTGTTTGATGTTTCTAGTAACTTTTGGTAACTTTGAAGAACAGTATCTGGGATAATCTGTGGAATCTGAAAACCTTTCTGTGGATAGATTTGTATTCTGTAAAGACACCCTATCATAGCACTAATAACGTCATGCAATGCCCCCACCTCTGTATTGGGGTAACTGAGCATTGGGATGGGTGGTGATGTCACTAAAACTTGCAAATCTGGAGTTTCCGAAAAACCTGGCCATTGTTTCATAAATGTGGCGTAAACTCTTCTCTCCATGTAGGGCATCTGCACCAAAAGTATCTTTTCTTTTGGCAATAAGTTTCCTTGTTTTAGGACGTTGTATGAAAAGCGTACATTTTCACCTGTATTAGTGGCATTGGATTCCAACAAGATTTGATTTTTATCGACACCTAGAGATATGGCCACGTCTTTGAATATTTCAGCTTCAGGTTTTGTCCATTTTCCTAAAAGGCACACAAAACAATTATTCAGTCAGGACAGTTATATAGTAAGGATGATACTGCATTTTTAAATGTCATCTTTATTCAAAGATTCAATGACTGAAAATTAAGGAATTCACCTCTTGTATTTGCACCTTCCTTTCCCGAGAACAGAATCCAGGGTGCCATTCCTTGAAGCCATAACTTGGCACCATGTTCAGCTGTCCGTAAATCATGATTTCCTAGTACCAGTATAACATCACTCTGCAATGAAAAAAAAAATAAATGATCAGATTTGCTGTTAGTTTCTAAAACTGTAACATATATTATTTTCAGGAATGGAGGTAGGGGTCTGTTTATAACAGTGCCGTTGCCACCATTTGTGTAATAAAAAATCAACCCCTTAAAAATTGATGAAAATTGAAGCAGATGTACTCATTCATATCCAATTAAAATGTAATTATCCAGTCTGACAGGATCATCAGTACTTTTGAAATTTCATGTCCAAGAATCAAGTAATCCCATATTTTCTGAGCCAATAAATGTATATGTTTATTCACCAATCAAGGGCCCACGGGGGGCATGAACAAATTATTACAATATGATAATATTGATTACAATTCTATATTATAACTGGTGATCATTGGGAACAAAGCTGTTGTCTTTAATGCAGTGTAAATTCCTCGTTAAGGTACTCTTAAAAGAAGAAGAAATACGACGAGTTGTTTAATAAGCCATTTTCAATATTCAACAAGTGAAATTGTGTGTACACACTAAATTAATATGACAGCAGGTAAATACTTTCATTTTTAAAGAAAAATAAGTCGTTCAATGGATTTGAGAGAATCGCAAAATTGAAAATCTCTATAGCAAAGACCTATATATCTAATTATCTGCTTTTGTTATGTTATAACATCTGTATTAAACTAAAATATGCACACAAATTTGAAATTAGAATAAACTGAGTTAATTTAGGTTCTTTTTTAAATGTATCTTTGTATTTTTTAAAGAGAATAATTGAAATTTCGACAATGCTACGAAGAAAAAGTATATTTATTATGCAACAAAAAGAAGCCCGCCATTTTCGATATATCAAAAAATATACATTGTGTACAAAAAACTAAATTGATATGTAATATTATTCTTATAGCAGGTAAATATTTAATATAGCATGTTGTAAGAGACTATATTACCATTTTAAAAGCAATTTAGCATTGAAAGAAACTGAATGATGATAAGGAAAGTATGACAGAAATACCTTATGCCCCAATGGGTAGTATCACGTGGTCATTATTTCAGAGACTAGTGTGTGTGGAAGCTGCAGATCCTGTAGTTCGCTGGTCTGAAAAAAATTGAGAAGGACTTTTCTATTTAGAGAAGTGGACAGGCTTTCGCCTACATCCTTGTCCATTTTTCTAAAGAGAATAATAGAAGACCCGAGAGCTACAGTGCCACTCACTGAAGAAAAAGTGTATTATGCAACAAAATAGAAGCTGTTTCTCGAAAAATTCCTCTGTATATATCAAAATCAAATTACTACTTACTACATGTATGTGTTTCTAATATATTTTCTTACTACTTCCACAACAAAGTTTTATGTACCAGTCATGTATGAAGATTGAAGTGCATTGGACTGAAATGTCTTGAAACTTAAAATGGCCTTTTAAATGGGAAATTATTGATGGTTTTAATTTCAGGCCCAGGAGGGTAATTAACAAAGGGTTTGAGGAATGTTTCATTGTGTTAGTAGTATAAAAAAGTATGTTAGAAATAACACAGTTTTTATTATTTTGAGAAGACATATATATACGGAGAATTAAATAATGACACAGCGCACTTCTTTGTGCACAATAAATTTACACATTTTTCTGGTCGTCCAGGGTCCATCCCAATTTTTTTCAGACCCTTAAGCTACAGATGTAGTCCATAAATTGTATGAATGAATATGTACAAATGTAACATATTTCAAGTAGCAGTACACATTAGTGAATTCACACTTCATTATCATTCGGTGATTTAAAATGTTGAGAATAAGCTAAAAGTAGCACCCATAAAAAATAATCCACTGTATGATATAAATAGAGTGTTGTGTTTAATATAGCTTATGAAATGTACTTAACATTTATTTTTTTTTAAATTTTAGACAAAAGTTCAACAGAAGCAAGGTATAGCAAACAAGTGTTCAACATGATCACTGATGATGAAGCTTATTTGATTACTTCTTGATTAAAAAAAACTGTTTTCATCTCCATATACAGTGATATACCCCAGCAACATCAATGTAAAACAAAAACTAAAACTGAATGTACCAGTATGCTGTATTTGTAAAGTGAATTTAATAGAAGTTTTTAAAATGATTTTATCCAAGTTATTTCTTAATACAAATTCTGAAATGTATTTCTCTTTTAAAGTGAGGGGGATGCCATTAAAGTGTTTGTGAGAATTCGCCCCCCTGATTCCTACGACAATGATCGGGGTTGTCAACCTTGTGTGTCTGTCAATGAAAGCAAGACAGCCGTCATCGTTCAAAGCAAACCAGATTCAAAAACCTATACATTTGATCATGTTGCAGATTATCAAGATACTCAGGTACCTTATTCATGAATAACATCGGTAAATATACATTTGAATTATGTTCTTAGGATTGTCTGTTTCAAAATCCAGGGTATAAAATTGATCATATATCTTATCTTTTGAAAATGAAATTGTTAGCACAGTAGAGTGTTAGATCGTTTATAGTATTGATATTTGTCTCAAAACTTGGAAAGTTTGGAAATATGTAGAAAAGTTATCTTCCACATATTTTATTCATGTAATGAACTTGCATAATTTACCTAGATATGTGTATGAATACTTATGAACTGTACTTCAGAGAATGAATCGATTGAATTGATTTTCCTTTTATTAATATTTTAGGAGTCAGTTTTTACCATCATGGGTAAGAAAATAATTGAGAGCTGCGTAACAGGATATAATGGAACCATATTTGCTTAGTGAGTACAATAGTCCTGTATGAGGCCATATGTGAATTTTTTGTTTTCTTTTTTTTTTTTTGGCAATTAATTTGACATTTTTTAATCATACATTTTACTTTGATTTTTTAACATGATAGGTGAGGATGGAAAATAAAAAACATTTAGGCAATATATGAACTTATTTTTCCATTTCTAATTTTTTTTTTTTGATAACTCAGTGGTACCGGAATGTAAATTAGGCAGGTTGACAGGTCAGGAGCTAAGTAGGCCTAATATGCATGCAAATCTCGTGCACATCTCTCTCTGTGTCTCACGCTAAGGAGGCCAAATATGCATGTAAAAATAAAAACTATTGAAATTTAGGCAATATATGAATGTTTTATAATTGAGTACTAACTAGACAGTAGAATACATGCATGACATTCATGTCATGATCATGGTGATAGAGCAAATCCACAATAATGATGTCTGTAACACCATCGTCAGAAACCCACAGCCAATCTGGCATAAGCTTATTTTAATAAGTGTATGTGAGATTGGCCGTGGGTTTCAAACGATGCTGTAAAACATGCATTTTTTTTTTACAACATTGTCAAAGTGTATTTTAATTACTCAAAATAAAAATATTTACATTTGTAACTAATAATTTGCATTTCAGCATTTTTTGCATTTTAGCCATTGGCTAAAGTGAATGGTTCATTAATGTACATGTGTAGCAGTTTTCATTATATATGTGAACTCTGTATATAGGTCCATCTGATGATGTAGACAATTTCCAGCATGACTTAAGGGGAGTCACTCCAAGGAGTTTTGAATATCTGTTCAATTTGATTAATGAAAAACAGGAAAATGTGAGTACTGTATATTGACATCCATTGTTAGTATAAAACACCATTATTTTGGTTTGAAAATTTTACAGTGGATAGTGTAAATATTAATATTGTAATTAACTGGTAGAGAAATACACATGTAATTGTATTAATTATAATCACTTTAATCAGTATAGTAATTGGATGTACAGTACAAGTGTAAAAAAAAAAAAATTTTAAATATCCTTTTCTGTAGGGGTCAGAGTTCCTCTTGAAATGCTCATTCTTGGAGATCTACAATGAGCAGATATATGACCTTATGGAGCCCTCGACAATGACCCTTCACCTGCGGGAGAATATGAAGAAGGGGGTATTTGTGGACAGATTGACTGAAATCTCAGTGACTACAGCACTGGAAGCCTATGAGGTCAGAGTTTTGGAAAAATGATTTGCTTTGAAAATTTCCTGCACAAATTTCAAGATGCAAAAGTTAAAAAATAAAATATAAACAAGTACATTTATTATCTAAAGGCATTATTTGTATTCATCATCATGAAGGGTACTTATACATTGTATGATGACTTTTAAAAAGATCTACACTTAAACAATAAAAATGTACATATACATCTATCTGATTGACAGGTTTTAACATCTGGTTGGATCAACAGAAGAGTAGCGTCTACTTCAATGAACAGAGAGAGTTCCAGGAGTCATGCTGTGTTCACCATTCAAATTGAATCCAAGGTGTGTAGATATTAAAGTAAAAGTACATGTATATGCAGTTTATATAAACACATATTTTGGATCTGTATAGACATAGAGATATTAAAATGTGCCTTTCACATTTCATTCAAATGATGTTAGTACATGAAAAAGTTAAAAACACTTCTCTATAGATACATGTACATGTATGTCTATTTGTGCTTTTGCTTTTGTTTACAGTGAAATTGTAAGAGGATATCTGGTTGTTGGTTTAGTGGGGAGGAGGGGTCCTCTCTTCTCCTTGTTCTAATGCATTTTATAAGTATTAAATAATATTTTTCCATGCTGTACAGACATTTTTAGATATAATTTTTAAGTCAATGGATGTTTTTTCAGCAACCTCAAGGGAAGGGAGTAAAGAATTTGAAGGAGTCTCAGTTGAATTTGGTTGATTTGGCAGGGAGTGAGAGGCAAAAGGATACTAATGCAGTAGGACAGAGATTAAAGGTTTGTAAATGGAAATTAACTCTACTTGTTATTCTTTAATGAAATCAGAGGAAACTTTATATTTGTAAAGTGTACTTTGATAAACATTACAATAATGCAAATTTTATTATACAGATACTTTACAATCAATTCCCAGTTTTTCATGAAAAATACATGTATACAGGTATAAATCAGAGTTAATAAATTTTCAAAAGAAAGTCAAACATTATAAGGTATATAATGTACAGTGTATATATATGTAGATAAACAATGTATGTCAAATTTAATGACACAAAAATATAATATCTTTGACAATGCATGTTTATGTGTTTGTATGTCTCTATATGACTTTATTTTTGTGGTTGTCAGGAGGCGGGGAGCATCAACAAGAGTCTGTCTATCCTGGGGAACGTGATCATGTCTCTAGTGGACATCGCCCACGGTAAATCTCGACACATTCCCTACAGAGATTCCAGGCTCACCTTCCTACTCAGGGTAACAATGATTTGTGTTATGAAAAAGTTAATAATGCTGGAAAAAATTAAAGTTTAAAAAAGAAAAATGTTGATTCAGGACATGTTTGACTGTTTACTTTCAAAATAATTTTGAATTGTTTAATGTTATTACACGAATATGTAGGAAATAAAGTACATGCATATTATGACCAATCTGCAATTTTGCAGAAATGCAAGGTAAAAACTCTTTATCATTTGGCATACATGTTAACCTATTGTGATGAAAAAGAGGGAGATTCAGACCTCAAAAGCGGTAGCATTGCGCGCGTGTTGTTTAACGCTTGGATTACCGATATCTTTCAAGTAATATACATGTATATTATAAGCCTAATGAAATCAGGTACCTACATTAATTAATCTTAAATATCAACAGGAAAGAAGAAGACAGAAATACCATAAGTTTGACATAAATTGTACAAATTCAGATATTTTTCATGCTCATTATTTTGCTTGGATTGGCTGCTTTACTTAGCCTTTTGAAGAGTGATTACCTAGAAGCAATAATTCTGAATGTTCATTTAGTTTTTTTTAAAAAAAAAATGATGGCATGGTTTAATCTAGATCTAAAACAAGTTTGTATCTTTCGTTATATAAATCAGATTTACCGCGATGATCGAAAACGAAAGTAGAGATGTGCCACATGGCTTGGTCAATCGAGTGATTTCTATTGATTTAATTTATAAAGTTGTGAACTTCTGTGCTTTTGAAGACGATGTCAAATGTTTTCATCTAATTCATAAAAGCTGTATCAGCTATCTCCTTTTTCATGGCAGGGATGTTGATTAATTTATCGTAACCAATGTAATCACTGGTAGTCTTATGTTGTTGTCGTTGTCAAATCCGTGCTTGAAATCTATGTACAAAAAAAGCGTTTGTATGATTCAAAGTCAAATCACGCGATATCTAGCGAGATTTTATGAGAGTGGCTTCAAAAAAATGGATAAGCGACCAAAAATACTTTAGTTTACGCAGCTTTTGTAGAAAAGCGGTAGATTTATGAATTAAATCGGTAGGCGGGAGATGGAGTGAAAAAGCGGTAGACTCCCGCCTAAATCGGGAGAGTTAACATGTATGCATTTGGAGAGCCATTTAATTTTTGCCAGATCCTGATTAATATGTTTTTTTTTCTTCCTTTAACAGGATTCTCTTGGAGGCAATGCTAAAACACATATCATTGCTTGTATCCACCCAGGCTCCAAGTAAGTTAGAGTAAACTGGAAGATTCTTTTGTGTAAAAGAAGTTTTATGAGTTTATATTTTGTCTTACATGCACTTTGTAAATGTGAATCAAATTAAATTTGCTAGAAACACAGCAGAAGTAACATTGCCCAAAATATGTTAGATACATGTTTTTTTTTTCTGTAGCCCTGTAAATAATATGCATGAAAAGCTATACATGTACATACACATATACACATTTCTGATTTATTTCTATAATAATGTTATTATACCCCCCGCAAACGAAGTTTGGGGGGGTATATAGGAATCACCTTGTCCGTCTGTCCGTCTGTCCGTCTGTCTGTGCAATTGTGTCCGGTCCATATCTTTCTTACAGAGGGACATTAGAATCTACTACTCCACACTAAGATTGCTCATAACCTAAGGGTGTGTCATGACCTTGACCAAAGGTCATTTGGGGAAGTTCAAGGTCACTGGAAGAAAAATTTCATAATTCGTGTCCGGTCCATATCTTTCTTATGGATAAACTTGGTAGGTTCTCATTTCACACTAAGATTGCTCATAACCTAAGGGTGTGTCATAACCTTGACCAAAGGTCATTTGGGGAAGTTCAAGGTCACTGGAAGAAAAATTTCATAATTCGTGTCCTGTCCATATTTTTCTTATGGATAAACTTGGTAGGTTCTTATTTCACACAAAGATTGCCCATGACCCAAGGGTGTGTCATGACCTTGACCCAAGGTCATTTGGGGAAGTTCAAGGTCACTGGGAGAAAAATTTCAAAATTCATGTTTGACACATATCTTTTATGGATAAACTTGGTAGGTTCTCAGTTCATACAAAGATTGCCCATGACCCAAGGGTGTGTCATGACCTTGACCCAAGGTCATTTGGGGAAGTTCAAGGTCACTGGAAGAAAAATTTCATAATTTGTGTCCGGTCTCTATCTTTCTTATGGATAAACTTGGTAGGTTTTCATTTCACATAAAGATTGCCCATGACCCAAGGGTGTGTCATGACCTTGACCCAAGGTCATTTGGAGAAGTTCAAGGTCACTGGTAGAAAAATTTAATAATTCGTGTCCGGTCCATATCTTTCTTAAGGATAAACTTGGTAGGTTCTCATTTCATACAAAGATTGCCCATGACCCAAGGGTGTGTCATGACCTTGACCCAAGGTCATTTGGGGAACTTCAAGGTCACTGGAAGAAAAATTTCATAATTCGTGTCCGGTCTATATCTTTCTTATGGATAAACTTGGTAGGTTTTCATTTCACATTAAGATTGCCCATGACCCAAGGGTGTGTCATGACCTTGACCCAAGGTCATTTGGGAAGTTCAAGGTCACTGGAAGAAAAATTTTATAAGTCGTGTTTGATACATATCTTTATTATGCAAAAACTTACTTCTGAAAAACCCAGCGGGGGGTATTTTGTCCCAATTGGACAGTTCTAGTTTTTGTTGTAGATCCTTTGGTGAAACACTGTCAACTTTACATTTTGCAAGGAGAGCAAAAATGATTAAAAACAAGGTAAAACTTGTAGAGTCTCAAATTCCCCATGTGATATTCAAACTTTTTAACCAAATATAAAAGGGCCCTGATATAAGAGAATATCCCTGTTCTATAGTGTATGTATAGCAGTCAAATTATTGCATATGAGTGAGACGAAGAAAGAGCCAAAGTACAAGCATATTTTACATGAAGTCATACACATGTAGTAATGTGCTTGTATGAAGAGGACTTACAGTATTTGTTTAATTTTTTCCCCTTCATAGGCTGTTGTGAATGAGGACACTCAGGGAAATGTCATTTCTTTACAACAAGAAATCAAGCGTCTCAAAGAACAACTTGCTGCTTTCATGAACGGAAATCCTACTACTCAGGTGATGTCCACAGGTAAGACCCTCTAAAAACTAATCTAGGAATTTTATCATTCACACAGTGAAATTATCAACTGATTTTGGAAGAATTTCTTTTTTGTATGCATACATGTATTAAATATATATGTACATGATACAGTTGCACATACATGTATTTTAACATTTATTTAACATTTATTTAACAATAATACTGAAACAGATCTGCAAAACACGATAAAGAAGCTTAATATATTGACATGTTAGCAGGATTTTAGGACATGCCTAGAGCAAATGCTATGTGTAAAGATATAAAGCTGGAGTAAACTGTATATTTCAAGTACATGTAATAGTAAATGTTATACATTCAAATTTTAGCAGCAACACCAGCAGCACCTAGCTCTATAACAGATTCTGAATGGAGAGAGAGGTTTGTCAGGAGTATGCTATTTAGAGAGAAGGCTGATCAACAGAATCAGGTTAGTAAATCTTGTTGTCACTAAAAAATAATAGCTTGGTCCCATTTACTCTTACATGTAAGTGTTGGTACATGTAGAGTCTCAAGGAATTGGTGTACATGTAAATTTCTCCATTATATCTGTTTTGATTGGATACTTTATGTAATTTTCCTCATCTTGAGCTTGCACATATCTTTCAAGCTAGTCTGAAAATAATTTTGGTATAAAAATGGTAAAAAAAAGTGTGTACCCAGTAGTCACAAAATATTAATAAAATAAAAATATACCCTGGTTGTTGAATACAAGTACTTGAACAGTGTGTTAATGTGGATGATTTCAGATTTTACAAGAGAGGATAGAACAGCTACAGGATCTCTGTAATAAGAAGGACAAGTGTCTACAGAGCAGTAAGATGATCGTGAAGTTCCGGGACAACAACATCTCACGCCTGGAGAAGATCGTGAAAGAGAAACACGACGTCCAGCCGGCCCTACAACAGACCATTGTATGAAGGGGTTCTGTGTAGTTTAATAATGCAGCAAGTTGTGGGATTATAACAATTTTCATGCCTATTGTTTTTAGACTGTTTGGTATAAACTGTCTATCTAAAACTAGGGATTAAATTTAAAGAATAAGGTCAAATGACAATGTAGGTTGAGATTAAGTTTCACTTGGTCATTTCAAATGTTTTGCATGTGGTTTTTATTACATAATGTGCTAAGAACAGATTAGAATTTTTTTATTCACATACAATTATCACATTGTTAGATTGATTTTTATACAAATTTAAGTCTTATGTTGATATATACTTTCTTTAAATTGTGTATAATTAGCTAAAGAACTTATGCATATACATGTACACATATTTCTAAACTTTGCAGATACCGAGTTAATAAAAAAAAAATTGAAACATTTTTTTTTTACTCAACAGGAAGACCTGAGGGCAGAGATAGAGACCTTAAAATATCAAATAGAACACAATCCAAAGATCACCAAGTATGCAGCAGATATACAGCATCTAAAGAATGAACTGAAGCTGGCCAGGTCCGAGAGAGCGGACTCACAGCAACTGGACAACAAGAAGATGGAGGAGTTAGAACAGCTGTATAGAAAACTAGTGGAGGAACAGAGAGGTCAGGGGCTGTATTTTATTAATTTTTGACCAAGGCCATAGGATATCTTACACACAGACAATGACAGACAGATGGACAAACACTATTTAATACCCACCATTTTCAATAAAAGTTGGGAACAAAATATCATTAAAGGGAGAAATATTTAGTTTCTTGAGAATTAAAGCAAGGCTTAATATTAGGGATGTCAACGAATAATCGAGTACTCGACTATCGTTCGATCATACCGACTATCGACTAAAATTTCTTTAGTCGGTTATTCGTTAAATGTGTGTTTCATCAAAGTAATTTTGAATTCAAGGCAATAAACTTATATTTGCTCATTTTATTTATTTACAGATCAATATTTTCATATGTAAAATTAAGAGTATGGTGTAACTGTTCAAAGGAAATTATTTTTACGTCGATTTATGTTCGGCAAACATGTCTTCAAAATCTAAAGTTTTGGTATACCGGTAGATTAAAACACGTAAACAGTGTTATCAAGGTTATGTGAAACAGAACTTGTATTCTGCAGTGTAACATCAAACATAATGTATCATATACCGAATCAGTCAAATATATAAACAGTCTTCAAGTGAAACTTTCCTAGAGTAAAGTTCTCCGAAAAAATTACCAAAAAAGCAGATTGGGAAAGAAAATCAAACATGTTTATTAATTATTAATGATTGCCTACCTCTTACCGTTTTAAATGGGCATTTGTTTAGTTTTGTAGATTCAAACTAAGATCTGACATGATACAACTATTCAGAAAGAATATGAATTAAAACTGCTATTACAAAATTGTAAATACATGTAAATTGGGGTCAGTTATGAGAGTAATTAAACCGTGTTTTCCTTTTCTGATATTAATTTAATACAATCATTGATTGTTTGCATAAAATTTCATAATTAAGGTTTATCCCAAGCTCTCGCTCTCTCTTTGTTTTTGTAAGAGACATGCTTTAATTGTGTACCTGTCAAAGATCATTGACGGACACGGAAAAATTGGCTTCAATTATGGGGTACATGTACTACCGTTATGTAAAGAAAGTACAAATACGAACGTTTGATATCCTGCATTTAGATAAAATGTGTAGCTAATATATTAATTTTTGAAATTAAATACATATATTGGATACATATTGATGAACAGTGTTTGTAATTGTACTACGTACATGTTTACAATTAAGAAATTCGTTGCATAATGGTGATAGGGAAGGTTAAATATTGTAAACTAGTCTGTAAAAGACAAACAATGAAAATGATATGAAAAAATAATTATAATTAAACGAATATTTGACTATCATTGAACTAAAGCATCCGACTATTCGACTAAGCTGTCCGAGTAAAATTGACATCCCTACTTAATATGAATTCAGTATTTACACAATGTTAAATAAATTTCTCTTGACAGATCAATATTTATGCTCACTATGTTTTTGAACATGTTTTTTTCAGTTGAGGAAAATTTAGGAACTCAGACTCCTAAGCTAACCCCAGCAGCTACAGATAACATCTCCAAGGCAACGGTGGAAAAATACAAATCTCAAGTGGAGAAACTAACAGAGGAGAATGAAGAGGTAATTAACTGAGACATCTAATTTGGACCCACAAATAGTAATTAAATGGATTATGTTGATGATGAATGTTCTTTTTATAGTTGAAGGAGAAGATGAAACAGGCCCAGGATTTATGGGAGAAGAAGGAAATTGAGCAGCAATCTGAGCTGGCCTCAGTGAGAAAGGCTCACGCTGATCTCAAGTTTGTACTCGAGTCCTATCAGATCCGAACTCAAGTCGAGCAGGACGTCATAAAGGAGAGACATTTACAGGTTGTAAAGGTACGGTAAAATCTTTTAAAAAATTCAAACTTATTTGTTCAATGGATTACTAAATAAGTACATGCACAGTGCATCTTGTAGGCATATACTGTTGCATTGAATCTAGTGATGGTGCTTTTAGTCAATTTATATACACATCACCATTGTAATGATGGATTTAATAAAGAAATTTTGGGTAGGGCAACTATTAAGCTATAAGAACAATGCTTTATTTTGATACACACCACTTGTATTAAATCTACTGTCCAAACAAACTCAGTTTAGTACTGTATGACATCCTCCATCTTTAAATGAAATCCCTGGAGTAGGGTGTTTGTAACAGGATAATTTCTTTTATCTTTTAGACAATAACAACACCTAAGAAAGTAGTAAAAAGACTGAGGAGCAGAGAAATATGTGCCCCCTGCTCCAACAGTAGCACCCCCACCCTGAATGATACGATTCCCTTTGAGGAGAACGAGGGGATATTTGAGCAGTCAGAACCTCAGGCCATGACAGAGGAGTACCAGGAGGGGCTGATAGAAGAGATCAAACAACTGCAGGTCTGTACAAAAGTAATAGCTGAGGAGATCAAACAACAACAGGTATGTACAATAGTAATAGCTGAGGAGATCAAACAACTACAGGTATGTACAATAGTAATAGCTGAGGAGATCAAACAACTACAGGTCTGTACAATAGTAATAGCTAAGGAGATCAACAACTACAGGTCTGTACAAAAGTAATATCAAACAACTGCAGGCCTGTACAAAAGTAAAAACTGATAGAGGAGAACAACTACAGGTCTGTACGAAAGTAATAGCTGATAGAGATCAAAGAACTACAGGTCTGTACAATAGTAATAGCTGAGGAGATCAAACAACTACAGGTCTGTACAAAAGTAATAGCTGAGGAGATCAAACAACAACAGGTCTGTACAAAAGTAATGACTGATAGAGGAGATCAAACAACTACAGGTCTGTACAAAAGTAATAGGAGGAGATCAAACAACTATAGGTCTGTCTGACAATTGCAAGCATTGCTATTACATTGAAGAGTCTCTTAATACAAGTTTTACCTGATATCTGTATATGTAATGGATATATGCCGAATACTAGGGCTGTGCAATATTACCGGTATATTGGTATATCGCGGTATTATCCACCACGACAATATATCGCGATATGAAAATCAGATACTGGTATTTCACGATATTTATAAAAATATATAAAAACCTTCTTTATTGTAGAAACTTCTGAAATAATACTTGTAACTTCCCAAGGCCTTTTCAATATAGTCAAAAAATACTTCGTCAGCTTTCAGAGGCAGATAGAGAGAAAAGAGAGAGACAGAATGAGAGAGGAAGCTTTTCATTCACAGTCGCAATTTTAAATATCTTACTTCAAAATAAAATTAATAATTAATAAAAAGACTTTTAAATAAAATTAATAAGAAAGAAAATATATAAAACATTTCTACAGGGTGTATACCATGTGTACTGTGGTTCTCAAAATCTCATGGAATCTACACGATCGACGATGAATGTTAAGTTCAAGATACATATTACAAATAAATGGCCATCCATGTTTTCACGTGATACAATATTGCTTTTTATCATTTTTTAACAAGTTTCATGCCATTTTAAACATCTTCATGCTATACCAGGAGCATGTGTATTAAAACAATAGAAATAGGCCAATGCAGTTCCTGATCGTATGTCATAATGTGAAATTAGGTCGGGTCAGACTAAAACACCAAACGCCCGAAAATAGGTCACAATTTCTTTTTGGCTTTAATTTTATTCTGTGAACACATAAAATTTCCATATAGTATTTATTGTTTTAATCATTAAGTTACATTTTATGCTATTTCAATAAAACAACAAAACAACCCCCCCCCCACAAAAAAAAAAAAAAAAAAAAAAAAAAAACGTTTAAAGAATAAACTATGCATAAACTTTTTTTTCAATTTGAAAATACATCAAATGAGTACATTTTGTTTTAATATTTTACCTGGTATTTAATTAAAGGTTATTATAATTATGTGTGCGATTAATGTCTTACCCCCCCCCCCCCCCCCCTTTGAACTTGACAGCATTTTAAACTTTCTGCACAAATTTATTAATGATAATTAATCTACAATATATCGCGATATATTGCAATATTCAAGGTAAAATATTGTAAAATATTGCAATATATCGCAATATGGTTTTCACTCGCAATACCCAACTGTACCGAATACTGTTCTATATGTAAAATTATCAGACTGTTTGAGGCCCGTTAGGGCCGAAAACTGTCTGATAATTTTAAATATATAGAATAGTATTCGGCATATATCTTACTTAAAACATTGCCATTTAAATGTCCAAAAGTTACCTGGAGGAGTCCGATAATAACACAATGGGAGTTCAGGCATCAATTGTTTTTTACCCGTCTAATAAGTAGACAAAAGAAATGAGACAGTAAAAGCAGTGATTGAACTCTTACTGCATTTCATTCATTCAATGGTAGTCGTTTAGCTAAGCAGGAAAGGGGTACGGTGGTGAATGATTTCCTTTTTGATTTGGAAAATTTTTATTTATTTTGTGCATAAATTGAAATTGATACAGATTTCATTTTTTGGTGATATTATTGCCATCACGATGGAAAGTAAAAATGGGGATTTTAATCCTGGAGTTTAAGTTAATAGAATGGAAAATTCTCTTGTTTTAAAAGTGCAGCTACCTGGAAACAATCCTTATAAAATTAAAAGATTTACCGATCATTTCTCAGAAATGGATTAAATTCGCTTATTCGAAGTGCTGTATCAAAAATACTTTTAAAAGGTGGGAAGTATTAATTTTGAGGAAGGTTTAAACTCGCTTTGTTCATGGATTTGCTATTTTGTATCGAAACTTGATTTCGTTGCGATTGCTTTCCCTGAATTTTTTTCCTAACATTTTTGTTTTGTTTTGGACATATTTTAACCTTTATTTCTCTCTCCTTTTTGTTTTTTAAATACTGTCCGATTTTGTTATCATTGCCGTCCGATAATATATTATCAGACTGGTAATTACTATTATCGGACGGCTACAGGTAAATTTTTAGACTGCAAGAACAAAGGCATGACGTCACAGCAATGTTTTAATAATAGGGTTTTGAAAAAAAAAATGTTACTTTTTTCCTTGCAGTATTTCTCATCAGATTTTGTAGCTACACAACTTTACTGCTGTAAATGTTTTTCATGATTAACTTGTAAATTATAAGGTTATATGAACCAGTATAGGAAATTTCTTTACCTTCAGGATCAGAACAGCTCCTTGAATCAGCATATTATGGACATGGAGACAGAAACAATACAGCTACGACAACATATCTCTAAAGTGGATCACCAGAACGCCAAGTTAACAGAGGTATCAAACTGAACTGTTACACACAGCTTTATGTCTAGGAAAACGTGTAGCTCTTTAAAACAGTATTTTCAGTGCAGAGATCAGTGGGATTACTGTAAATGTATTATATTTAGCGTGTACGATATTTGGCGGAAATTGATTTTTGAAGAAGTTAGCATTGATTTGTTTTAGCGAATTTCTTCATATTCTTATTTATGTGTATATGTGCAAGGCATTTAGCTTTGCATTTAATTTAGCGGTTGCTGCGTTCCGCCAAAGCTGTTAAAAAGAATACACTGCCAAATATAATACATTTACAGTATTATAACCGTGCCCCCAAATTTTAAAATGGTTGCAGAAATCTAAAGATTTATGTTCAGGGGTTTGCTACATAGATAATGGAAAACAAGAGTCTTCTAATATTAGATTACTCTTGTAATATTATGTTATAAATTTATCATATTAATGATGCATGTCTGTATTTGTAGATTCTGGAAAGAGAGAGGGCTTCATTAAGTGAGACCACAGAGAAAATGAGTAAACTCTCCAAAACCTTTAGTCAAGAATTAGAAGAGGAAAAAATTAAATGCCTTAGTAAGCTTGTTTTTTGGCATATTTTTACTGTACATGAGACATTAGCCAAATTTTCAAACCTAATTGTACATTTGGCTAAAATTTTTTTTTAATTGTATTGGAATATGAGTTCAATGAATATTGATGTCACTTTAATAATAAATATTCAAATAATGCTTACAGAAAACTTTATTACTAATGAAATACCTGAATTATACTTAAATATAGCTAAATGTTTAAGTGATCTATACTGATTCTTTTCTGCAGCCTTTGAAAGTGAAAATAGAGATCTTAAAGTTATTCTGCGACAAACAGAGAAAGAACTAGAGGATTACAAAACAAGGTGCAGGTCTCAGGAAAGTGCCGTCCAAAGCCAGGCCGGAGAATTTGAAGATAAGGTATGTGTACTAGTAACTTGTTGTTTGTCGATATGTGTTTGAGAGTCACACTTGGATGAAATAAGTCAATTTCTTTCAAAGCATATCAATATGAGATTTCATAAAAGAACATTTTAAAAGGTACAAACATCATGGAGTCTTGATGGTCATTTGAAGTCATAATTTTCTCTTTGACACAAAATTGTTGTCTCATTGGTGTCCTTATAGGAGTTTTCTTTGTTTTCTTTATTTAAATATTTAAAAGATTAAGAAGGACTTGCACATGAACATGTGTGATTTGAATTTTTTTTTAATTCATGAATTGTTGCTGATCACTGATCATACACCAAGAAATCAGTTACCAGGGGTAATATTTGATAGCAAAAGAAAAAAAGATACATTTACTAATCATGTCATTCCCACATCTGCAGAAATAGGAAATACTGCACTGTATTAAAGACATTTAATGTTAGTTCTTTTTCTAAACAGATTGGTGCTCTTGGAATAGAAGTAGAAAAACTCCAAAGAATAAATGAAGAGGTTGAGGAAGAAAATCAAAATCTGAAGGTGAGAAAGGAATGGAAATAATGTATACATACATGTATAGTAAAATACAAGTTATACTTTATCTAATCCAACATGTATTAGAAGACAAAAAAAGGTAAAATGGAAATGACCAGCAAAATTGAAATTCACAGGGAAACAGTTAACACTGATGAAAAAAAGGTATACACTCTGTGTAAAAGAAAGATAAATTCAAAAAAAAATGTATCTTTAATGGGTATCTTTTCATTTGTTTAATAACAAAATTGAAATCTGATGTCCATATAGGAAAGGCTGATGACAGTACAGGAGACATTAGACTACAGAGAATGTCAGGTCCAGGAGTTAGAGGAGGCCATAGCTGATCTACAGAAACAGAAACAAGACCTCCAGATACAAATTCAGGTACAGGTGTACTCCAGAAATTCATCAGTCTTACGTGTAAATCACTAAATTTACTATGTTTTCATTATTTTTGCATTTTAAATCCACAACATGAAGTTTGATGATCAAGGAAAGTTTACAAATGCTGGAAGAGGATATGATTTCTGTCCATGAATTTACATATCAACGAAATTGTACATGTGTGTTTTGTCAAAAACTTAAAACATCTTTTCCACAAAAGTTAATAAAACAACAAAGTACATGTATATCTGACAATTACAGATATAAAATGCTTTTACCCCCTCTCGGCTAACGTACAGGGGATATAGCAATGCATATGTGTGTTTATGGAGAGTGAGTGGATGCATGATTCTACTCCACAAGTAGTAATTTACATGTATATTGGGATCAATGTACCCTTTTGCAAGGACATGCTTTGCTTGATGCCATTGGGTTTTTTTTCCCTCGTATCATACATGTATAATCATTTACATCTGTATACATGTAATACATGTTTGCCCTTCCCTTTTTTTGTTTTTTTAAGGAAAATCTCAATCAATCTGACATCAATTTAAAGGACAAGAATAAATTGTTTCATGAGCTTGAAACAGCAAGACATGAACTGATTTCACTGAAAGAAAATATGGAGAAGAGAGATGAAGAACAGAGAACACTCACAACAGAAATTCAACACCTGGAGAAGATAAATGTAGAGAACCAGGTAAATTTTTAATTTTCTTAAATGTAAAAAAAACAAACATGCATGCATAAACATTAATGGGATTTGAAAAATTTAATGATGAATGTACCTACAGTGTATAATATATTATAAAATATGTATACATTAAAAAGTGGATTGGACTGCCAACTCTTTAGATGTATCCCTGGTTATTCCAGATATTGGTGAGATAACAAGGTTCAACTGTATTCTCTACAGATTTATACTCATGCATTACTTTTCTGTTCTTTCAGGAAGCATTGTCAACTTTCATGAAGAAAATTGAAGACAAGAACATGGAGATATCTAACATGAAGGATGCATTAGATACACAGGTTCAGAAGGGGGAGGAGCTAAAGGGTTATCTGGACGAAAAAGAGGGCAGGATCTGTGAGCTGGAAACGAGGAATAATCTACTGGTCAACGAAAGTGAAAGCAAGGCTGACAAGGTACTTAAAGCATTTTATATTTAGAAAAATAAACTCTAGGTAAATTTTACATTGTACATGATAACTGGATTTTACAAACACCTGTTAACTGTTCCAAGATATTACACTGAAGAAAAAAAAATAAAAGGAAGGGGAAGAATATTTGTCATATGATATCAAAATGTGTGATATTTAAGAAATAAGGTATCATTTTTTGAGTTTTATTGGGATGTAAAACGGGTTGGTCACGTGATCAAATCCCATAAAGCCCAAAGGGCTTTATGGAAGATTTGATCATGTGCCAACCCGTTTTACATCCCAATAAAACTCAAAAAATGATACCTTATTACTTATATTTACATTTGTGACTTATTCATACTTTAAATTTGCCTGATTGTGACTTTTAACATGTGAAATGCATTATTTTTCAAACCCAACGGCATGTATGTAATCCACTGAACGCGCGTCGACCCTTTATGACGTCACTGAGAAATTACGTCAAACGTTTATCTATAAGCACATCTATGACCTCTTGACCCCGTACCTGTATTTATACAGTTATAAAAAAGCTTGCTTTCAGTAGTGTTATATAAAGGAAAACATTTGCAAATCTAAATATAGGAAGATAATTTTATAATTTTTATCTTTGCTAGATTTCAACACTGCAAGAAGAATTGGACCAAGCTCAAGAAAACCTCCACAGTTTTGCATCAGAACATGAGAAAGTTGATAAAGAAGTGGTATGTAATGTTATAGAGTACATGTATTTGAAGTTTTTTGGCATCAAGATCTACATGTAGCACATGAACCAATTTTTTGAAAAAAATGTTTTGGTCAAAAGTTTCCTTGTAAAATCTACAGTATGTACTCAGTATGTCAAGATGTATGTATGTTGTCAAAATCAGAAAATATATGGGGAAAAAAAACACAGTATCATGTACATGTGTCTCCTTAGTCTTTGTAGAAAGGAATTTTGGTAAAGGTTCCATAAATTTTAAGATTGTTTATAATTTGCAGAATAGTCCTGCTTCATTGAAGTTTTTAGAACAATCAATACAGTTTGATACATTTTGTTTTCATAACAACATTCCTTTGCAAAATCTCATTTAATCATTTTGTTTGCAGGCTACTTTGAAAAAATTACTGGAGACGAAGGAAATAGAACTGGCAGCACTACATGAAGAGAAGTCAAATCTGGCCTTAGAGGTTAATATGAAACAAGTTGCATTTATCTACATACATGTATTACTAAATGTGCACAAGAGTATTCACAGAGTGAATGCAAATATTTTAAAAATAAGTAGAAAATGAAAGAAACTTAAGTATGAAAAATAAAAAAAAAAGGTAAACAAAGTCTTTTTCTTCAAAGGGCTCCACTAGAACTTCAGCTAATCTTATTCTGAACTCGTTATAGCATGCACATCATGTTCACAGAAAATTGAATGTTGAATAATTTTCATGAACCACACTTTGACATATACTATACAATTATTGCTGTTTTATGAGGTCAATACAATGATTTAGCCATCTGAGGAGTACAATATTCACCGAGCCCGAAGGGCGAGGTGAATATTGTACTTCGAAGATGGCTAAATCATTGTATTGACCGAAAAAACAGCAATAATTGTTTTATTATATGATTCACTGATAAAATGATACAGCTCATTACTTGTATGCATTTAATTAAGTCATAGTCAAATACAAGAGAGAAGCAGAATTAGAATGTAATTAAACCTTACTAGTCGTATCAATTTGAAGGGTTTTTTTTTATCAATTTTAGTTGCTATGAAAAAAAAATATAATGTCAGTCTATTTTATAGGATAAATTTTGAAAGGAAGGAGTTATCAGGGAAAACTGACTGCCAAAAAGTAAAAATTGTTGTTCAGTAAAAGTGTTGGAGGGGGTTTCCTGCATCCCCTCTTACCACACTCACCCGAAAATATATTATTTGATTATGTTTTGTTCATATGAAAAAAAAAGTCATAGTCGTTTAAATAGCTTTCCAAAACAATTTGTATCAATTTGGAATTTCCCGATCTATTTTTAGATCAATGTAGTGGAAATAAATCCTTGTATTCACCCGGAACGTTACGTGCAGGTCAATACAACGTAGTATTTTTCTAACATAGTTGGATCTCAGCCAATCAGAGAGATGGAAATTATTCAATCATATAATAAATGTATTTGTATCTTTCATCTTATTAATGAGGAAAGATTTATCTAATAAGGACTGATTCATTTTTGACAGCTGTCATCTACAAAGGCTGAACAGTGTCGTGAAGTTATCGCTCAGCAGGCTTGTGTTATAGAGGACTACAAAGAACAACTCAATCTGTATCCTTTCTTCATTTTCATTCTGATTATATCACATAAAGAAATACATGTTAATATGATAAGCTATCAGCTTTTGTCTGTATTATGTAGCCGCTGGACCCACAATGTATTGTATAGATGGTATCAGTATTGTTATTCTTGGTACATCAGTCCTTAACAGATATAGATTGAGGAATTCAGAGATGTCAGTTCACCAGGAATCTCAGGAAATGGACAGATTAATGGTAAGGCACAAGTTTAGGATGATAAAATTTACGTTTATCTACAGTATTTTCAGTTAAAATATTGTACATGTACATCGAAAATAGAAGATGCAGTTAATTAATTAAATCCGGTACTTATTGCAACCCCCCCCCCCCCCCCCCCCCCCCCCCCCCCCCCCCCAATTTCTCATTTCAGAGACACAGTCCCTTGGCACACAGACTGATATGCAGAGAGAAAAGAATACATGACATTGACAAAGAAAACCAGTCTCCTTCGAAAAAATTCATGTCTCCAGTTCTCAGATTAAAGGACATGGAGCAAAACAAAAACAGACTCTCTTCATCAGATTCCTTGAACGGCATGGAGAATGGAACGCTTTCTCCGATAAAAAGAAAACCCGTACTGTCAGAAGATATCGTACAGAATGATAGAAGTGTTCGGTTGTCGGAAGATTTAACGGACGATAGTCAGATGGACTTGGACCAGGCTTTTGTGACAGCTCACACTATGCAGGCGTATGTGTCGAAAACCCTAAAGAAGGAATCGGAAGATGTTTGATATGAGCTTGACAGAGAAGATTGTGAGAAATTTGAATGCATGTTTTATTGTGCTCGATGGGGGAAGTGTTAGGGAGATTTATTGTCCATTGCTGCATTACAAGAGATTTTAGTTCTACAGAATAGTGATTTTATGATTTGTACTTTACATGCAGTTTAACTTGACGCTGTTCATTTAATAATGAACTTTGTGATTGTTTCAAGCAATGCATTTTGTTTAGTATTAGTGAAAAATGTTATTTTAAAAAAACCCAATCAAACCACAGGGATTCACATGAATATATATATCTATTGAATTACTATATATACAAATATATCTTTACAAGGAATATGGTAGAATAAATATTAACCAAAAGATTTTGAGTGAATTATGAATAGATTTGGTTTAAGAGAGGAAGAAATGCATCAGATGAAGATTAGAAGGACTTGAGTTTAAGAAAACAGTTTAAGATAACGGTAGAATTTTCAGAGGAGGCTAATGTCAGTCATTGAATTTCTCAGACTATATCAACTCAGCCCTGCCTAAGACTAGAACAGATTTACATGAACTTTTAACATTTTTACAATTCAATAGAAAACTTCATAGATGCTCAGGGGTAAATTAAACAAAAATGATGAAATATTTAGCTTTTTGTACATGACCCAACCCATGGAACAAGGAGAACTGGTGAAATAAATATCATGAAGGAAAGATGTTTTTCCTGGAATCACCTTACAATAAGAAGTTACTGTGCCAGAAAAAATTAAATATGTGAAAGTTTCATTACATAATGTATGTATGAATAAACTCAGGTGACCTATTCCTATCGGTTTTTGTCCATCGTCAGGCGATGTTTGTCGTGTGTTAACATTTGAACAGTTTCACCTTCTTCTCTGCAACCATACGACGAATTTATAGTTACCAATTTTGACCTAAAGCATATATGGGTGAAGGGGAACAAAAATTCTGAATTTCATGGTCCCTGTCCCCGTAGGGCCTGAGGGGTTGGACCAAAACCACTAAAATTAATGCGATCTTTAAAAATCTTCTTTGCTCCCGGACATCAAGCAGTCAAACTTGGCATGATTGTAATCAGCATTCAGTCCTATCAAAATTGTGAAACTTGTGGCCCCGGGGTCGGGGTTCTAGTGCTAGGGGAGGGCTATATAGATTATATAGTGAAAATGCTTTATTTCTTCGAAAATCTTCTTCTCTGCTCCTGGGTATTAAATAAACTAAGTAAATAGTCATAATGAGCATGAATGCCTCTTCCAGAATTGTGAATTTTATGGCCCCAGGGTCACATGTTCTGGTGTTACGATGGGGCTGTTGTGATTATATACTGAAAATGAATTATTACTTTGAAAATCTTCTCTACCCCTGGGTAGTAAATAAACTAAGTACATAGTTATAATTAACATGAATGCCTCTTCCAGAATTGTGAATTTTATGGCCCCAGGTTCAGGGGTTCTGGTGTTTGGGTGGGGCTCTATTGATTATATAGTGAAAATACATGAATTCTTTGAAAATCTTCTTCTCTGCTCCTGGGTATTAAGCAGATGAACTACCTATATAGCTATGATGAGCAGGGACCTTTATTTCAGAATTGTGATTTTCGAGGTTCCTGGGTCAGGGGTATTTTGAGGTGGGGCTACTTATATACTGAAAATGAATTAATTGTTGGAAACCTTCTCCTTGGTATTAATCTAACATTTTTGATAAGCAAGGGTGCCTTTTCCAACATTGTGAAATGTGTGGGTTCATGTGTGGTACAAGGGACACTACTGATTATTGCTGAATATTACTGATTTATTGAAATGCATTTTTTGTTTCCCAACCCTGCTTATGTGTATTAAGTAACAAAACTATGCAATTGCTAAGTGTATAGTTATGATCAGCAGTGGTACCTCTTTCAAAATTGTGAATGCCATGGCATCTAGTTTAAAACATCAACCAAATTCAATCATTGGTATATTGTTGCATGATGCTACGGGTGACCTACAAGGCCCATGGGTCTCTTCTCTTATTAATTTAGCAAAAGTAAAATTAAATATGACAAAGTATATAATTCCTCTTCTATAAGAGTTTTCTATATATGCTAAATATACAAAACTTTATCTAAGGTGGCCCCACCGTACACCCAGGGGACATAATTCATGAAATACACAGTATTTAAAACATACATAAATTAAGAAAGTTTCCATTATCCAATCATATAGGTTTCATCTTTTTTGTCCAATGCACACATCTCTCTAGTGTGGCATCAATGCACACATGCCACTCACATCTTCAACTGAAAATACAATATTACACACAATAAGACAATGAAATAAACTTACCATCCTCAAGTGGTGTATTGCTGGCAGGCTTACTTCTATCGGAGTTGTTTCTTGGCTTCTATCACAGCCAAGATTGAGTACAAGTCACAGTCTGAAGTTTTATGAGTGAACTCAAATCAGTTCATCCACAAAAACAGGGACATTAGCAACTGGTATACCACATACAAGCACTCTATTGCAGACTGTGACTTGAGTGCATCAACAATGCACACACCTCACTGGGGCAAAAATATTACAAACAATAAGACAATAAAATAAACTTACCATCTTCCAGTGTGTATTGTGTTGTTTCTTGGCTTCTATCACAGCCAAGATTGAGTACAAGTCACAGTCTGAAGTTTTATGAGTGAGTGGCTCAAATCAGTTTTTTAATCCACTGGGTTTGTCTATAGCATAGACAAAACCAGGGACATTAGCAACTGGTATACCACATACAAGCACTACCTATTGCAGACTGTGACTTGAGTGCATCAAAAATGCACACACCTCTCTTGGTGGGCCACGCACATCTTCAACTGAAAATAGAAGATTACAAACAATAAGACAACAAAATAAACTTACCATCATCCAGTCATGTATTGCTGGCAGGCTTACTTCTATCTGTGTTGTTTCTTGGCTTCTATCACAGCCAAGATTGAGTACAAGTCACAGTCTGAAGTTTTATGAGTGAGTGGCTCAAATCAGTTTTTTAATCCACTGGGTTTGTCTATAGCATAGACAAAACCAGGGACATTAGCAACTGGTATACCACATACAAGCACTACCTATTGCAGACTGTGACTTGAGTGCATCAACAATGCACACACCTCTCTTGGTGGGCCACGCACATCTTCAACTGAAAATAGAAGATTACAAACAATAAGACAACAAAATAATATCATCATCCAGTCATGTATTGCTGGCAGGCTTACTTCTATCTGTGTTGTTTCTTGGCTTCTATCACAGCCAAGATTGAGTACAAGTCACAGTCTGAAGTTTTATGAGTGAGTGGCTCAAATCAGTTTTTTAATCCACTGGGTTTGTCTATAGCATAGACAAAACCAGGGACATTAGCAACTGGTATACCACATACAAGCACTACCTATTGCAGACTGTGACTTGAGTGCATCAACAATGCACACACCTCTCTTGGTGGGCCACGCACATCTTCAACTGAAAATAGAAGATTACAAACAATAAGACAACAAAATAAACTTACCATCTTCCAGTCATGTATTGCTGGCAGGCTTACTTCTATCTGTGTTGTTTCTTGGCTTCTATCACAGCCAAGATTGAGTACAAGTCACAGTCTGAAGTTTTATGAGTGAGTGGCTCAAATCAGTTTTTTAATCCACTGGGTTTGTCTATAGCATAGACAAAACCAGGGACATTAGCAACTGGTATACCACATACAAGCACTACCTATTGCAGACTGTGACTTGAGTGCATCAACAATGCACACACCTCTCTTGGTGGGCCACGCACATCTTCAACTGAAAATAGAAGATTACAAACAATAAGACAACAAAATAAACTTACCATCATCCAGTCATGTATTGCTGGCAGGCTTACTTCTATCTGTGTTGTTTCTTGGCTTCTATCACAGCCAAGATTGAGTACAAGTCACAGTCTGAAGTTTTATGAGTGAGTGGCTCAAATCAGTTTTTTAATCCACTGGGTTTGTCTATAGCATAGACAAAACCAGGGACATTAGCAACTGGTATACCACATACAAGCACTACCTATTGCAGACTGTGACTTGAGTGCATCAACAATGCACACACCTCTCTTGGTGGGCCACGCACATCTTCAACTGAAAATAGAAGATTACAAACAATAAGACAACAAAATAATATCATCATCCAGTCATGTATTGCTGGCAGGCTTACTTCTATCTGTGTTGTTTCTTGGCTTCTATCACAGCCAAGATTGAGTACAAGTCACAGTCTGAAGTTTTATGAGTGAGTGGCTCAAATCAGTTCTTTAATCCACTGGGTTTGTCTATAGCATAGACAAAACCAGGGACATTAGCAACTGGTATACCACATACAAGCACTACCTATTGCAGACTGTGACTTGAGTGCATCAACAATGCACACACCTCTCTTGGTGGGCCACGCACATCTTCAACTGAAAATAGAAGATTACAAACAATAAGACAACAAAATAAACTTACCATCATCCAGTCATGTATTGCTGGCAGGCTTACTTCTATCTGTGTTGTTTCTTGGCTTCTATCACAGCCAAGATTGAGTACAAGTCACAGTCTGAAGTTTTATGAGTGAGTGGCTCAAATCAGTTCTTTAATCCACTGGGTTTGTCTATAGCATAGACAAAACCAGGGACATTAGCAACTGGTATACCACATACAAGCACTACCTATTGCAGACTGTGACTTGAGTGCATCAACAATGCACACACCTCTCTTGGTGGGCCACGCACATCTTCAACTGAAAATAGAAGATTACAAACAATAAGACAAGAAAATAAACTTACCATCTTCCAGTCATGTATTGCTTGCAGGCTTACTTCTATCTGTGTTGTTTCTTGGCTTCTATCACAGCCAAGATTGAGTACAAGTCACAGTCTGAAGTTTTATGAGTGAGTGGCTCAAATCAGTTCTTTAATCCACTGGGTTTGTCTATAGCATAGACAAAACCAGGGACATTAGCAACTGGTATACCACATACAAGCACTACCTATTGCAGACTGTGACTTGAGTGCATCAACAATGCACACACCTCTCTTGGTGGGCCACGCACATCTTCAACTGAAAATAGAAGATTACAAACAATAAGACAACGAAATAATATCATCATCCAGTCATGTATTGCTTGCAGGCTTACTTCTATCTGTGTTGTTTCTTGGCTTCTATCACAGCCAAGATTGAGTACAAGTCACAGTCTGAAGTTTTATGAGTGAGTGGCTCAAATCAGTTCTTTAATCCACTGGGTTTGTCTATATAGCATAGACAAAACCAGGGACATTAGCAACTGGTATACCACATACAAGCACTACC